AAACCTATCAACGCCAGCACAAAATCGAGGAGACGAGCACAAAAAAACCAATTGTACCATTGTTCAGCACAAAATGAGCACAAAAATATGGGATAGGTCGCACCCCAGCACAAAATGTTGGGGGGGCCAGCGTAATGCACCTCATGTAATTCACTTTTGAGATAACTCCAAAAAAATTGTTACACTTTTTTCGTTACCAATGTGAAATAATGTACAATGACCATTCACATTGAATACACAAAACTGAAGAAAACAATATCCTATTATAAAGAACGAGGAGAACGGTTGCATTCTTGACAACTTTGACATTTTGATGTACACACACATATAAAAACGTATGGCGGATTGGAAAACGTCAGCAATGAACTAAACTATCACTTGGTGTAGCAAGTTCATTGAATGTGTGAACGGGTGGCAATATTCGATTACTTCAAAATCATATGAAAAACCACACAAGTGTTGACAGTGCAAACTCACAATTTTTTAGAAATATTTCTTTGGAAAACAAATCGTGGATGAAGCCTAGGCTTTGAAGAGCCCGAATATCAACAATAAAAGAAAATAAATGAATATAATTTCCAAACAAATAATGTATATAAAATGTATGGCGTTTCCAATCTCAACACTGTTCACATTAATGTGAATGACGCATGACAAAGTGACTTTGACAGCACACGCATATGAATTGTTGTCATGTTTACAGTCGGAAACGTCAATGCAAAATCTCCAGTATCTAGTTTCACTCTACTTTATTTAATTATTTTTGACAATATTAAAATGATTTACAAAAAGTATACTACGATTAAAACCACATTCCATGTAGTGCTTACGATAATAATTTGATGAGAATAGAGGCGTCAACGGACAAAAATTCGGACGTCCGGTCCGAATGTCCGAAAACAAAAATAATTTTCGGACGTCCGGTCCGAATGTCCGAATTTTTTTTTCGGACGGACAGACGGACGGACAAGGGGTTTTGTCAGAACTTTTTGAAATTTCTCGGACGTCCGAAAATTTTTCGGACGTCCGAAATTTTTTTAATTAAAACAATCAAAAGAAAATTGGATAAGAATACGCAGCGTATTCTTTGGCGACATTTTTGCATTTTTTGGTTGGAAAACTCTCGGAAAAAAGTTCTCTGGTTTGAACTTTCCCCGATTTCCCGATTTCCCACAGTAGTGCTTTTCCGAGACTTTTCCAACCAAAAAATGCAAAAATATCGCTGAAGAAGAATACGCTGCGTATTCTTATCCAATTTTCTTTTGATTTTTTTAATTAAAAAAATTTCGGACGTCCGAAAAATATTCGGAATTTTTTCGGACGTCCGAGAAATTTCAAAAAGTTCGGACAAAACTCCTTGTCCGTCCGTCCGTCCGAGAAAAAAAAATCGGACATTCGGACCGGACGTCCGAAAAAAATTTTGGTTTTCGGACGGACGGACACCAATGTCCGAATTTTTGTCCGTGTCCGTTGACACCTCTGGATGAGAAATATCAAATTAATTAAACTCCTTTAATTTACAAGCTTCAAGAACGCAGAGCGGAGCAAAGCGACGATCTGCGGTCTTGTTTTTGACTGACTGTATATGGTATGTTCGAAGAAAACTACAAAAACAACATCCATTCTAGTCATAGAAAACGTCAAGTCGACATGAATTATTCAATTCAATGTAGGTAAATCAGAGTAATTTATTTATTTCATTTGTTCGTAAAACAAAACCATCAGGCGCATTTACAGTGCTCACCTGCCAGACAGCAAACAGACAGACGTGTGTATTCAATAAATAAGAAAAATAAATCTCATATAGAAAGGAAGATGTGTGCGTGTGTTGTACTGTTGTGAATTAAATGTAAATTGAAACCGAACATTGTGGAAAGAAAAAAAAACCAAAGGCTTCGAATCGCATTCACATGCACTTTGTCTCATGAGTTTTAAGCAACATGTGTCAATTTGCATCGACGCAATATTTTCCAAATAGTATATTTTTAATATCGGTTGAGAGCCACAGTGTGTGTATTGTGTGGGTCTGAGTGAAGAGCAAATATTCAAGAACAATCTAAAAAAAATGAACTAATTCTGAAGTTTCTTTATGATCGTTACCAGAGAGTATTTTTGTATGCGAATAATAACAATTATAAGAGAAGCGGCGAAGTCCATTCGGTTATAAACATGACATTAAAATAACGAATCGAGGCACCATTTTAATTGATAACTTCATTTAATCATTCAAATGAAACACATTTCAAATTATAACGCTTCAACAGTATCTTATGTGTATACAATTAAAATAGTCATCGAATTTGGAGATCAGACAAATGTTCAATCTGCTGCGCATGCGTACAATAATATGTTTTGCTTGAGAATGTTATTGTCATATATGAGTCATATCTTTCATTTTGAACATATTTATCAATATTCCATTGATTTCATTTAAGAATCCGATTATTTTTTAATGTGATTGATTTTTATTGGGAAAATGTTCTGTTTTGCTACAAAACGTGAAAATATGCATAGAAAAAATTGAATTCAAACTCAGAGTGCCTTGTTTTTACCTTTTTTTGTCAATTTTTGTGAAATGTGCGCATGAGTGAACAGCTGAATGTGAAAAGAAGGAAAGAGGGCCAAACGGCCGACTGGTTTTAGTTTGGTTGCGAAAAAACAAGTAAACTGTAGAATGTTCACGACTTGAACTATAGCATGCTATCGGTGAAAATTTTGCTCGACATACTTTTCCGGAAAATTTGTAGTTTATTTTCCAATTGTTAGGATTCTACTGCACTGCTAGTCATACGAACGTGATCCGAGCAAAAATGAAATCATTACAAATATTTTAAATTACGTACTCTTTTCTTGTGAAGCAAACATCGGCAAATGATTTTTCACTGTTTTTGATACAGTAAAACCTCCCAGTAATGGAACCTCTAAAAAAGTGAAATATCGCACGGTTTCCCGAATCAAATCATTTGTCATGCTCACAATAATGAAATGGTGAACAAAATTTCTCTGATTGTGTGTTGGAATGCTCATATCATTTCCATGAACGTGATTCACTCAGATTCCTTCTTTTTTTGTTATTGCAAGGTTTTACTGTATATTGTTTCGTATCACACACACACACAACGTCTCCATAGCAATGTTGTCCATCATGCGGCGTACTGTTTATCTATTAAGTTAGGAATTTTCGAAGCTTGTAGGGGGAGAGAGAGAGCAAGAGATAACCAACATTGTTTCGAGCGTATATATGTAATGTGCTCACACACAAAACAAACGCAGCTCATGCATTAGGCAAGATCCTCCTCAGAAAAAGATAAACCGCAACAAAAACACCGAAGAAGAAATGTTGTAAACAAACAAATAAAAATATATACACATAATCCATACGAATACTGTTGTATGCTGATGTAAGAAAATGCTAGCCTGCATTTCGAAGCTATCGGCGCGTAATTATTTTCTGTTATTCAGTTGAACTGACTAAGTGACTCAGTTCAGTTAGTGACTTTATGCAATCGTGATTGTAGTGTGTAATCGGCGAACAGATGTAGATGTTCAACGAATAGTGAAATAAAGTCGAAATAGTTTATTTAACATACAATAAATCAAATGCCTTTGGCAAGAGCTTAACAGTTTAAAGAGATTGTGAAGATTTTACGATATTATGTGCGCACAATCATGTACAATTTCGCATAATCCCTAAACTCGTTTCCCGTTGACAAATTTGAAAGACCACCAAAGTAAAAAATTGTTCACAAGTCTCGGGTTTGGAATTTGTAAAATATTGATTGATTATAGAGTATAGAAACGGACAATAGCATGGACCGTTTACACAAGTGTTAACCAAATCTGAAAATATTTGTTTGGAAGGGTGCTCGATTTGACAATAGTGATCGCATTTATGTGGACAATGGTAATTGACTCAAATCTAAACGTTGTGCGTTTATTTATTTAGATCGAGAGCAATGATGACGGCTTAAAAAATCTCCATATTCTTGGCGTTGAGCATCGACACAGTGGTGAAATTCAGTGTACTATATACAATCCATTGAATCCAGGACTAGCACAACGGTCGTGCTATACAGATTTAGCTGTGTTACCACGGCCCATTCAATTGGCAAATGTTGATGTTGATCCTGACACCAGCCCCTTCTTCGTCCATTCACAGACCGTTAATTGTGCTGATTTGAATCCAAACACAACGATCACACAGCAAGCATTTAAGCCAATCGCCGATATTCCAGCTTATTTAATCCGTGGCCCAGACGATTGCACAGCACTAATTGGCGGTACAATTTGCTTGGTATGTTACAATTATCATTATTATTATTATTGTTATTATGAAATTTCAATTTTTATGGCAGATAAATTATCTAAGCATGTCAAAAACTCGAGATAATTGTATTATTTTTTAATCTATTCGCACTTGTTGCGCAAAAATTTTAGGCGGTCTCTTATGGTGGATATCCAAAACCACAAATAAAATGGCTACGAGCTGTGAGTAAATTTTACCATTACAAATTCGTCTGTGTTTTACCTATTTTAGTATTGCTATTTAATTATTTGAAAAACATCGGTATGCACACTAAACAATAGACATGATAATACCAAACGACAATTACGGAGTTCTTATACAAATAATGTCCAATTGAACCGCAGTTAGTTTTGTCGTCAACATGTATCGCATTCTCACTGAAAGCAGTAGTATTTTCTTACACCGCACACTGAGTAGATTGACTCATTTCACTCAATTTGATGTATCTAGTTGTAATTTTACGATTTCAAAGCTACAAATCCAGCTCGATATTATAGTCAAGATGTGAACCGTTGCATAAATAAGAAAATCAGAGAAACCAAAAGAGAAAAAAACTAATCAAATTGTGTAAATCGTGCATCAACACATTTGCAGTACATATTGGTGTGCGTGGCTTCGTTAATGAAAATATCACCAAAACAAAATTTCAATTTACGCCAATCGCTTGCAAATAATCCTTGAACTTAAATTGATATAACTGTTATGGTAACCACAAACGGTGCATGTGTTATTGAATTCCTCAAGCTCTGGCTCGCTCATTTTAGATAATAAATGAAATGGATGCGAGGAAATTCGATAAACGCAGAAAATTCAATACCAAGTTCAGTGGCGAATACGAATGTGAGGCTCGAACGAAATGACAAATATAATAAAAATCAATCCATATTAATAATACACATAAAATCACAAATGCGAAACAAAACCTCAAAGTCATCAAAATGATGAGCATTTGCAATAATGACAGTCATCAAATGACAGTTGATTGGTTTGCATTTACATTTTGCATTCAATTCATAATATAATCAATAGATAGTTCGAATTCCGCATTCAATTTCGATTTGATAAACTGGAATGAGACATTTCTTGCGATATTTTAATTATTTGTGTTCAACAACTAATAACAGGGCCACGTATTGACTGAAAGTGAAGATATTCAAATAAAAATCGGCAACGGATCGTCAATGCTAATATTAACAAACGTTCAAGCAGATCAAAGCGGTAAATACACCGTTGAAGTTATGAATTTACATAATTGCGATATTGCAGCAGCTTCAGTTGCTGTTGAAAGTACACCAGATCCGCCGAGTGGTCGGCCGTGCATTTCGCAAGGAGTCGATCGTGTGTCGATCGCATGGTGTGGGCCTCCATATGACGGCGGTTGCATTATCACTGGTTTCATGTAAGTATTTCATTGATTCTATATCTGAATGTTGGGAAAAAGTGTGCATTATCATCAGCGCAAACGATACAGCTGTGCCGTTCATTACATATTTGTTGGGAATTGCGGTTTGTTCTATATTTCTACCATTTTGATAACATTTTAGCCTTGAAGTGCAGCAGGGAGACAACGATTGGCAAGAATATGCGACAATTGTTGATAGTTTGGCATACACAATCAAAGATTTGCAACCAAACAATGCGTATCGATTTCGTGTACGTGCTGAAAACATTCACGGTCGCAGCGAACCGAGCTTATGCAGTGATGTTGTTGCGATCAACGCCAATAATGGCTATAGTACAATAACGAATGGTCTGTCGGCAATAAATTTGTCAAAAGATTATCCGGAAAACAGCGACGATTCAGTCGATGGAAATGGAATCGTTGTCCGACAGGGTGGTGACTTCAAAGCACGATTCGTTTTGGAAGAAGAACTTGGTAAAGGTCGATTTGGCATTGTACATCGGGTGGTCGAACGTGAAACTGGCCAAGTACTGGCTGCCAAAATTGTAAAGTGTATTAAAGCAAAGGATAAATTAAAGGTTTGTACTTTTTTTCATCGATTTTATGTAATTGGTCCTTGCATTGTAATGCATTTTATTTAGATTCAGGAGGAAATTTCCATTATGCGAGCTCTTCGCCATCCGAAACTTCTTCAGCTAGCCGCCGCTTTTGAAACTTCCCGAGAAATGATCATGGTTATGGAATAGTAAGTTAATTAAATGCTTTCTGAGTCAATAATTGAACTGATTTAATCACATTTCTAAACAAAAATCTTTAGCATAACTGGCGGTGAATTATTTGAGCGCGTTGTCGCTGACGACTTTACATTAACCGAACATGATTGCATTCTATTTATTCGACAAATATGCGAAGGTGTTGATTATATGCACTCGCAATCGATTGTACATTTAGATTTGAAGCCCGAAAATATAATGTGTCACACACGAACGACTCACAAAGTAAGCATAACAATGAGAGACATAACCAAATATAGACGTCTGATCAATATTTATTATGCGCTTGATTTCAGATAAAAATTATTGATTTTGGATTGGCACAACGAATCGAAACTGACAGTCCAATTCGTGTCATGTTTGGCACACCGGAATTCATTAGTCCAGAGATTCTAAATTATGAACCTATCGGATTTAAGTCAGATATGTGGAGTGTTGGCGTTATTTGCTACGTTTTGTACGTATTCTCCTAGCGTATTTTTTCAAGTATTTTTTATTAAATATAAGTATTTTTTAAGTGATCCATTTTATTCGTGCATACATTGAACCCAGTGTTATTTCATGAGAATTAAAATTTTCAGATTATCTGGCTTATCGCCATTCATGGGTGATTCAGATGTCGACACTTTCGCAAATATTACCCGGGCCGACTATGATTTCGATGACGAAGCATTCGATGCGGTCACTCAGAATGCCAAAGACTTTATTTCTAGTTTGATGGTGCATAGGAAAGAAGATCGACTATCGGCCAAACAATGCTTGGAATCTACATGGTTATCACAACAAAATGACGATTCGGCAAGCAAGATACTCATTTGTACCGATAAGCTAAAGAAATTCATTATTCGCCGCAAATGGCAGGTATGTATGTATAGCTCACACACTTTTCACCATTCATCCCTCTTGAATATCTCTTGTTTTGAGGATTGCTAAAGTAACATTTACCTGATAAAAACAAACACCGCACAGCAAACGTAACTACGTTCAAATCGATAAGTTCGCTTAGATAAGACTGAAGTGATATGGTTTGAAAATACCATGACAAAATGGTTTTGTTATATTTTGATTTGGTCGATTCTATTACTATTATGTTGTGTCATTGGCCTATCGTACAACTTGATGTGTAAATGTTTCAAACGGTTCCATTTGAGCGTAGTCGGTTGTTTAGTGCACTGATAACGAAAAGATAGCTTCTTATATCATAATGCCAAAATAACATAATACCCATAAATACACTGACATGAGTGACTGCGAAAAAAGGTGGTTTGGTTTTATTATTCCACCTGAATGGTATATGTTTGTTTCGAAATTGTTTGGATAAATTCACCTTTTTTAGCCGCTCACATAAAATTCCAGAAAATGAATACATTTACACTGTAAATGAGCTACATTTTGTTTTTATGTTGCTTTTTTGCGTGATTTTATTTGGTTTGTCTATAATAACTAACAAAACATAGAAAACTGGAAATGCTATTCGAGCCTTAGGACGTATGGCAACTTTATCGGCAAATTCACGTAGAAATTCGTCCAGTTCAAATGTTACAAACAACAGTCCTCGGCCATCAATTGGTAATGGTAGCCATGTAACAGAGACGATAAAACCGCCAATGCAGCCATTGAATGAGGAGGAAATTGTTTCTGAGCCAATTCCATTGCCACCGCCATTCGACATACAAAAAGTATCGGTAGCTGATCAACCGGATAATGTAAGTAGTCAAGCTCGATCATGTGCCGATGTTGACTACTCTATAATGCCAAATGGGCCTAAGGAAAACAATGCGCGACTGGCAAAAGAGAAAACATGCACAGAAAGAAGTGATTCCGGGTTTAGTGATTGTTCAAACAGCAGCAATGGAAATATAGCTGGTAGCTACGCGCATACTTCATCAAACGTAACGGTAGCGCATCCATTGTTTGACAAAATAAATTTGATATTGGAAGAAAAATCGAATAGCGAACAATTTCAACGTGATAACACTGCAAACAATAATATGAAGGAATTTGGTGGAAAAGTATCAGTGAACCAGCTAAAAATTAAATTGGAACAAATGGCCGTGGCTCATCAACAGGAGAGCAACACTTTTGACATCAATAGAAAAGTAGTTAGGAAAAAACTATCTGCCTATGACGAATTGATTGATTCAACGATGGAATTGAACATCGAGCAAAAAAGAGAAACCCAACAAATGCGCACATCACACTCTTTTGATTTTGAAAATGCTGATTTGCTGCAAGACACAGAAGATCAGCCCAAATCGCTACCGATAAAATCTGCACAAAAATCGTTGATGCGCTCAGCGAGCTTGCATCAAAAGCGAATTGTCGAGAAAGAGCCAATTATGAGATCGGACTTTACAAACACCGTTAAAATGCGAAAGAAATCACTTGAGAGCAGTGCACTGCGCGAAAAGCAATTGCATTCGCAGCGCATATTACTTGAACCATCAGGTAAGGTTTCGAAGTTGTTGCGTCGCTTTGATTCACATAATGCGCCACCAAATGATGATAACGCTGCAACCGAACCGATTGTTCAAACTCCTGGCATTGATGGTACGTCGAAAGAGATCAGAACTGAAAACATAAACCATGCAGAGCCATCGAAACAGGATGATGAATTCGTGGAAATTCTCAGTACGCCATTGGCGGCCGCACAGAAATCGCCACCTTTGAAGCGAAAATCACCGGCCAAAGTTGCAAAAACGATCGTAAGTAGTTGTAGTGGTGGCATGAAACGAACCATTGCAAGTAAATTTGAGTATACTAACACTAAAACGTGTGTAACCAGCATGGAAGTGAAAGTGTCGTCGTCGTTGTCATCTGCTTCTTCTTCACAGCGCCATTCGCCCACTAAATTTACTAATATATCGAATGCGCCTATTAATCGTGCCACACCAAAACCCATTCAAAATCAAACAAGAAATACAATCGCATTAAAAAAATCTAAAAAATCTACACCAGCTGATACATCAACAGCAACCACCGGTCAGCGAGCATCCCGAAGCACAACAGCCAGCAAAACATCCGCCTATTCAAGTTTCAATCGCACATCGCCAGTACGCTTAAGCGGACGCGTTCGGGAGGTAACTGATCGTTTGTCAACGCCGAAAGCCATCGTCAACATCGTGAAAACACCGTCTCCAGTTCGAGAGCGTGTAGAAACTAAATTTCCAGCCAAACATGAAATGGCCATGAAATCGATGAGTGGCGCTATCAATCAGCAAATTGTCACGGTTACCGCTGAAACAGTTGTCGAAACCGAACATCAAATCGAACACACAATTAATGGTAAACTCGACGGAACCTTCACACTTAAGAGTAAAATGAACGAAAACTTTCGAAAAGCATCCGCCTTTTGGAAAGCAACTTGATTCAAATTCCGAAACGAAGCGACAAATTGGTGTCCTAGTCATTAAGCTTTTTCAAAACTTTTTAGACAAATTGAATCGATCCGAATTATTTATCGTATACAAAAGTGACCCTCGGACTTATTGTCTTTGACAAAAGTGGGACAACAGAAGAGCTGTAAATAAATGCGACTCAAATGTAGGACAACATTTTCAAGAGACGCTTCTGCGAATGAACATTTGTCCAATGTCAATAATGTTAAATAATTCTAGGCGATTCAATTGATTTTTTTTAAATTTCTGACGCAATTGGTTTTTTTTTCGTCTAACATCCAAAAAGAAATGACAATAATTTTAGAACTTTTACCATCTATCACAAATCAATCGGTATACCAATTCAACGACAAATAAAAATCTAGTATATTGTTCGTAATTGATTGTAATGATCGTATAACAATAGAGTTTTAATCAAACAACGAATTGTTCACCAATTTTTTTTCGAATTAAATAATTATTAAAGTAAAAAAAAGCAATGACAAAAATGTAAAAAAAAAAAAATGAAAAACCCAGAAAATGTATGTTTATTTGCGTTATTTAGGTCTTCTTTTTGAACGATCTTGAAATTACAATTTTATAGAAAAAAAGGCGATAGTTTGGATCCAAAAAGAACCGATTTTTTTAAATCCAGATTTCCAAAAAAGAAAGAACAAGCGTTTTCGATTGCATTATGGAATTTCTATTTGCAACTCGATACATATCTGAATGCTTGTTATGGAATAAGTGGTCTTCATTATTGCACCGTTTTCATTCGTTTAATTATAATACAATTATATAATGGCAAAACATTAATATTTTCTTCTTTTTTCTCGTCTCGCAACAATCTCTAATTGTATACAACCAATTAATTTGATTTAAATAATAAATAAAACTTTAGAAACTGCACGATCATTTCTTTTGTGTTTCATGTATATTTTTGTCCAATCGAATGAAGCAGCTGATGTGCTACGTATGCAATAATTAAACGGTTACAAAAACCCATTCGATTGAAAAATCGAATCAAAACATAGTCAATGACTCAAAACCAATTCTGATGATATTTTCAGCATTTTTTTTTTCGATGATAATTGGAACTACAGTACATTCAGACAAGGTAAGCTGTAGGTATATACAATGAATCATCACACAAACATATGGTTTGGTTATCCGAACTGCTGTGAAGTTTGTGCGAATGGTGCTTGAGAAGGCCAAATGAAATGTCAGTTTTGACATTAGAGCATACAAACAATGAGTATCACTCGTGTGTATTGAGTGCCACTTGTCATTTATTTCTGTAATTCTTTATTTGTTGTATTTTCTGTTCGTGTATAAACTGTGTTGCTTTGAGTTAAATTGAGCTGAGCATTGTGTACGATTTTTTTTATGTGTTCTTGGAAAAACTCGGCCAAAAGTCTGCTGAAAATATTGTAAAAGCAACCAAATTCGTTTTTCTTCAATTAGAATGTAACATTTTGAAACTGGTTGAACATATGTGCGATTAAAACAAAAGCAACACCTCCAAACAAGGAGCGGTTCTTCCACAGTGGTTGCAGCCTTGTGTGTGCTCAAGTAAATAAATGTCATCGAAACGGAACTGCAAAAATTTCTTCAAACGGAAACGTATTCGATGGGATATGAATTAAAAAAAGGATTTATAGTTGTGTATGACTGAATTATTGTGCATTAATCAACGATCAACTGAACGAATGAAGTCATGCTGAGGACATATGACTGTTCTAATAATCGTCTGGCATCGTATACATATCATTGTTTACAAAATATTGTTCGTTTGGAGTAATTTTGGATGAAATTTTTTATATATAATGGCATATGGTGGCTGTTAATAAATAAATATAGAACCACATTGTATGCCCTCATTTAAGAGCACAAATATTGTACACATCAAATTGGGTATATATCTATATACAAAGCATTGATTGATTAAGAAATAAAAAGTCTGTTAGAGCAGAGGGTATCGAAGTATTTGAATGAATTTCAAACGCAAGACGATGAGCACCAGTTATTTGGATGTTCCAATAGGAATTCGACTTATCCAACGCTATGGTCATTGTGAAAATCCTGCCAATCGGTTGTATAGGTAATGTTGTCGCCGACATTGTGGGTGCTCTTATTTTGTTCATTCTATTTTGGACAGGTTGAAATGATTTTATTTCCGAAATTATTTGTTTTTATAATTTTCACAGATATAAATTCTCAGTTCTGGCACTCACATACGTGGCATACACATGTTATCACTTGACACGAAAGCCAATTTCTGTCGTCAAAGCGGTTTTACATCGCAATTGTTCGTTGGTCGAAATACCGAAGCAATTAAGTTTGGTAAAAGATGTATCGAATGAGAGTACTTGGTGCGATTATGCTCCGTTTGGTAAGTAAACACATATAAAATGCCACAATGTCTGTTTGTAAACGTGAATTGAGCCAGTAGAGTATAGCGATAGAATGACATCCGTTGCGCGATTAAAATAGACAATTTGACACAAGCGTGACTGCAAATATGATTATAGAATTATCTGTTTGGACATGCGTTCGCATTTCAAGATTATTCAAGCACAAATAAAACAACTTGAATCGGTCACACGTTTCGTGTCAATCATATCAGACTTTTTCTACAAACCTTACGCACATTGAACCTTTCTATCATCACATCATACATATAATAATAAATCGAATGTCGACACAAAACATTCAATCACATTTTAATTTAATTCCACAATTCAATCTGTAACTAGATTCCCGTGACATTCAAACGCGTCCTAATGAAAAACAATACGTGCAACAAACCATAAACGAAAGCTAAACACAAAAACTACTCACAATTCCGTATTAAAAATTGATGTATAAATAAAGGTGTATGTAAATGTTATCACTGTTAAATTGCTTTCGTCTACAGTTTTTATTACTATCAATTTATCACAGTCCATTGGTAGTTGTGTTTCTTTTGAATGAAATAGAACAATATGTTCAAAAAGAAAAAAAATTGCAAAATGAACATTTTTGGCAGTGAAATAAAATGTGAACAACAAATACAATTCCCCTGACATTGATTACATTATAAGTACATTATAGGTCAATGCACAATTTTATTTGCCATTGAATTATCTATGAATATACATTTTTTTTCTCGTCCTTCTCTCTATCTGTCAAGATGGACCCGATGCATCTGCACTTCTTGGGACTTTGGATACTTCATTCCTTCTAACTTATGGAGTTGCAATGTTCGCGTCGGGTTTTGTTGCTGAACGGGTATCACTACGCTATTTCCTCACATTTGGAATGCTTTTTTCGGCCATCTTCACCTATATGTTTGGAATAGCAAAACTCTACGACATCCACTCATTTTGGTATTTTATTGTGGTCCAAGCATTGGCCGGCATGTTTCAGACTACCGGTTGGCCGGGCGTGGTCACTGTTGTTGGACGTTGGTTTGGTAAATCAAAACGCGGTCTTATATTTGGCATTTGGAATAGTCACACATCAATTGGAAATATTCTGGGATCGTTGGTTGCTGGATACTATGTTGAACGAGACTGGTCGATGTCGTTCATTATGCCAGCGTTTGTGATGGGAATCGTTGGAATTATACTATTCCTTTTCCTAGTTGATTCGCCTGAAATTGTGAGCTGTCAAGTATCCCGCAGTGAGTCTCGACGCAACAGTGGCCATTACAACTATCATAGTATTGAGGATGGGGTCAATGAATCAGATGATGATGTAAATACACGAAATTTACACAATGAAAACGAATTGAACAACGTTGTGGAGCAGGTAACGCATTTCAAATGTTGAATCTTTTATTGTGGATCCTGTTTTGAAGACTAACACTACTCGTAATTCAGACGATTTATTTACTAAGCTCTAGACTTTTTATCTAATCACTCCATTTTGTCACTAAACTATTTCATTAACTTTCTTCCAAGTTTAATTTAAACTGTAATTCAACGAAAACTTTTATACGATTTACGCCCATTTTTTAGGACAATAAATCAATTCGAAATATTCCTGGTGATGAAAACTTTGTAAGTGCATGCAGTTGGCCATAGTATTTATTCGAACTCTTGTTTATTCATTCGCATATATAATCATTGTAAATACGCATATTTTGTTACTTTTGTATTCTTTTTTTCCCAGTTTTATCCCAGTTTTTTTTATTAACCTTTTTTGGCATGTAGATATTTTTGTTCAACATTAAATTGTATCTGTTCTCATACATTGTTACACAGGAAATCAGTCATCGACCGACCGAACGAACTCCAATGATTGGGCACCGAAGATCATCTGATGTATCGTTTAGTGGAACTAGCAATCATGCTGCCATCGGATTTGGTGGGGCTCTCCAAATTCCTGGTGTTGTTGAATTCTCGTTGTGTTTATTTTTCTCGAAATTAGTGAGCTACACATTTCTGTACTGGCTTCCAAATTACATTGAACACTCAAGTATGTAGAAGATAAATTTCGACATAAAATCGGTCGTGTAAAATAACAATATTTTTTCTTTTGTGCGTTTTTGCAGCAAATCTAGGAGCAGAGGATAGCGCAAAGCTATCAACACTGTTTGATTTTGGTGGAATTTTGGGTGCAATTGCCGCTGGTATGATTTCGGATTACAGTGGAATGTCAGCGTGTACATGTACAGCAATGCTATCATTAGCCGTTCCCATGTTACTTGTATACCAAAAATTCGGTGCATTAACAATTTATCTCAATATAATATTATTATTTTTGCTTGGCATTCTGGTAGGTCACACCCCGAATTTCATCAATAATTTCCAAAGAAAATCCAATAATCGTTTTTCCACAATCTTGTTTTTCTCACTATCTCCAGGTGAATGGTCCGTATGCATTAATTACGACATCTGTTAGCGCTGAGCTTGGTCAGCACAGTTGCTTGGATGGAAATTCCAAGGCATTAGCTACGGTGACCGCGATCATCGATGGCACCGGTTCACTGGGAGCAGCAGTCGGACCATTTTTGGCGGGTTTCTTTTCAGCAACTAGTTGGGAACATGTCTTTTACATGCTCATCATGGCCGATGTTCTAGCATTAATCCTCCTTCTAAGATTAGTATCCAAAGAAATTTCCAAATTGAAAATGAATCCTCGTATTGATTGAACAGCGTTTAATTAATTGCAGTTTTACATTCTCATCCAAACATTCATTATGCAGACACATGCATCTGAACAACCGTGAACAAAAGACGTGAAACTAAAAATATTTAACTGCACTAGAAGTAAATATAAACATTTGACCATCTGCAAAAACAATGGAATTACATAGAATACATGTGTCTTCGTCTGTTATTTGATTTGAAAAAAGTAAAATAAAAAAAAACGACCATTCACCAGAGAGAAAGTTGAAATGGATTGTACCATTTGTTATTATGTGTACGTGATGTAATTAATATAGAATTCTAAGATCTGTATTTTGATGAGTTTTATCAAGAAAGAGAAATCGCTGACGGAATAGTATTTTTGTAACGAAAAAAAGTGAATAAATCAATCAAATATAATTGCCATAACGGCCAATATTTTAATAAATCTCAGACTTGATTATGATTATTATTATTAATTGGAAAAAGATGAAAAGAAAATACAACCACATTTTTTTCACAAATTTTCTGTGTATTTATTTAAAAAATCGTTCGTCTCCTCATTCGTGAACAAAAAAGAAAAATCGTTAAAAGAAAACAATGGATAAAAAATCTATAGACCTAGGAATTTTTTTCCTCTTTTAAATAATTAAATGATGGTTGGCTAAAAAATTATTTTAAAATCAAAATTTATTAAACGATTCGGAGCTTAGCAATAAATAAGGTATTTAATTTCGTTCATTCATTTTTTATTCTATCAATTGTTGTGTCTGTGTTTTTTAAATATAAAGTTATTTATTTTAAAAAAATGCTTAGTGTCATGTGTAGGATATTGAAAATGGACTGAATTTAGATACGATCGAGTGAAATATGAAATGAAAATATGCATGAGAAAAATTGTGCTGACTAATTTTTTTTGTACGCTTTAAATATCCCTTGAAGCTAACGCTTAGGGGATTTACAGTATTCAAAAGAACGATAATGTGAAAGTATATGACTCGAATAAAATTTGACAAACATTTATTTGCGGCTCTGGACGACAGTAAAAAGCATTTAATTTTTTTTGGAGTGAAACATCGATGAATATATACTAAAATGACGAGCAATGATAGCAGTGTTCACAGATGAAATGGCATCAAGTGTGAAGAAGTATACTAGATAAAATGTTATGTAAAAAATGTAAATGGGTTTTTCCGCCATAATTCTGAATTGATGGAACTAAGCATCAAACGCATTCGATTTGTTAATGGACAAAATACTTTGCCATCCCATGAATTCGATCGTCATTTGCTTTTATTTTTCTCAAACAAAATGAGGAATACGAAATATAGAGATGACGCTAGCATTTAAAAAAAGTTTTTTAAAAAAACTGTTTTTTGCGTGGGTAAGTAGTGAATAAAACTGATAAACACTCTATTATTTTGGTTACAATTGATCCATTTGCTTAAAATCCAGTTTCAATTAGCACGAAGACGTGAAATAAAATTCTTCGATAAAAAATAAAATAGTAAAATCCGTTTTCATGCTTTTGGATAAAGTTCAAAATTGTTCATTTGTTGCATCTTAATATTACTTATGCTTAGTTGTAAATTGTAAAATTGAAATCAGTCCCAAAAATGTTGATTTTTCTTTTAGTTGCTTTCATTTTTTGTTTGCTGCTGTTTTCATTAGTTTTACGAGTTCTAATGGCGGTTCATACCATCGATTTGATGTATGTATATATATAATTTATACGTTGTTATGCTATGATTAGACACATATTAGTTGTTTATATGAATATGTTTTGCTTTGTTTGTTTGTTTGTTTGTTTATCATTTTTCTTTTTATGTGTGCTTTTTTCACATTTCGTAGTATAAAAAAACAATTCCATTGCGGTGTGCACACAAAGTGTGCATTGCTCATAGAAAATAGTTTCTTTTTGTTTTGTTTTGTGTTGATCAATATGTTTATGAAATTTATGAATGAATTATGAAGTACTTAAGATAAATAAATAATCTCTACATGTAAAAATGTACATCAGTCAATTTTTGTCACGTTTGAATAGCTGATGTTTGTTCGAACACTAAGTTCGAATCATTTTGTGTGTTTCTTATTTATTTGCTCACATTGTTTCCAGTTATGTTATTCCACTAAAAATATGCAAAAATATTTCCTGATTTCAGATTCGGCAGTTATGTGTATATTTTTTCGTTTTTTTTTTCTTTCGTCGTGGTCAGTGATGTTTTTTCGCAGCTACACGTTAGTGCTACACTAACAATACAATTTATTGTAAAGTGTGACTTATTCAATTCCCTTCAATTTCAAGATGAATCCTTTCATTCATCGAAAAATCAACGGGGTTTGATCAAGTGTGAGTGTCAATTTGAAAGTATTGTCAATCTATGCACATGATGACCAATGGCGTTGATAGTTTGATAGTTATGATTCGGCATTATAGCTGTGGATTTTGTGTATTAATGTGTTTAGCATTCGAATTCACTGGCAGTGATGTTTTTCATAGTATTATTTAAATCTTTCATTAAGCCTTCTAAATTAGCCATTTCCTGATTGAGTTCTTCGGTCGACGTACTCGGTGCCAGTCTTTGAATTTCATCGGATGAATGTGCGACCATGGGACCAGATTGTTGCAAACGATTTGTCAATGTATTTGACAATGAGATCGGTGCAATCGACGATCCCGTGCTATTTGTTAACGATTTCTTATATGGCGATGCATTTTGAGGGCGTATGGCTACAGCTGGAACTTTAAAAATGGTTCATTATTGCAAAAGTCAGAGTGGTATCACTATGAAGTACGATACACAAATTTCTTAACGTTTAGTGTGCCGTCAATTTTTTTTGTTGGACATAACACACCAATATATTTGAATAGAAGTTTGTGTGTTGTTGCGGTGGTTCTTTGATTGTGCTTACCATTATGCTTGTTTGGATTTGAAATCAATGGCGTGGTATTGAGACTAGAAGGAGGGGGCCCGGGAACGCTGAAACTTTGCAATGGATGTCCTTGACCACGTGGTGCTTTCGGTACATCGATTGATAGACCTTGTGCATACGTTATGCTGGGATCACTAAATTTTTAACAAAAACCAATTATTGTGATTTAATACATCGTTTTAGTTTTTATGTATGTACAAATAAGACTCTTACCTATAATTTGATGGCATCGAGTCGTAACTATATGGATTTTCGGGCGTTTGTGGGATCGTTGTCATCTGAGTTTGATTTATTAGGTTCTGTTGTGAAGAGTTTGGGTCGATTAGCATGCGATTATAAGTTCGTGGATAGTGTGATCGATCTATTGTTGAATTCATTGAAGTTGCTGCAGGAAAAAGAAACGTGTTTCATTACATAAAGTTGTCGATTTTACGGAAACTAGGCCACGTTTTACTTACACATATAACCAGGAACATATTGACGTTTATCTAGTGAGTTTGTAATGTGAGTATGCGATAGATCAGTCTCATATTCATGCCCAGTGCGTGGCAGTGTCATTGCTCCACTACTCGATGCACCATCGTTTGTTGGATTTTTTTCAACGTTCTTTAATTCCATTTGATCATGATGAATCCATAAGTCAGGTGGTTGATTGCTTGTACCCTTGTTATAAATGTGTTTTCCATCTGGTGTTCCTTGCGGCTTTCGTCGGCATAAAATCATAACAACTTTGATTGAAATCAACAATGTTATCACCATCACGCCGGCAATAATATAAATCAAGTATTCATTAATTATTAAACTGGCTAAGCCGCCGCTGGATGGCATTTTCAAGTCTTCATTCATGTTTGGATTTTGATTTGTTGGGCTGGACAAGCTCACTAAATTGCCCGTTTTATAGGAGATCATGGCAGAAAAAGTGCCTTGCTGTGCTCGATTGACATTCTGAGTTTGCACTTTGAAATAATACATTGTGTTTTGCTTAAGGTTCTTGATTTTTAACGAGGTATCTGTGTTCACTGGTTCCACCGACCAGTCACGATCTCGGCTGGACGAGTCAGTTGTATAGTAAACCAAATAGCCGCTGATATGTCCATTATTATTGCGAGGTGGCAACCATTTAAGAACAACCGTTTGTGGATTGGTTGGATCTGGTTGAGCGGAGAGATCACGTGGCGGTGAAACGGGAGACAGTGAAAATGTTGTGTTCACTTCTGACATTGACCATGGTGATTCACGGCGTCCTTTAACCGCTTTCACAGCAAATTCATACTGTGTATTCGGTCGTAGATCGTCAATCATACAATTCATTTCCGTTGTATTGTAGTATTTATAGCGTGTTGTGTCAACGATATTGTAGCGAACGGTGTAGAAGCGGCTACTCGATGTATGCGGTGCCCGAATCACTGAATTATCCGTCCAGTAAACTACGATTGATGTGGCCGACATTGTGATTGCACGCAGTCGAACTGGAACTTCCGGCACATAGCCACCAGACTCAATAGGGTCTTCATCGCGCGTCTGAATATTATAGTAGGTTGGCTCACCGTCACCAGCCAGATTTCGTGCTCTCAACGAGAGCACATATTCACTGTTCGATTCCAGATTCTTAATTTCATAGAATCGTAGCTTTTCATCGAGGACACGAGTTTCTACATCCGGAAAACCGATACCAAAGCCCAAAATATAATTTCGCACTTTAATCTCTTGCTGTTTGGGGGGACTCCATGAAATCGATATACTACTACTTGTTGCTCGTGCTGATAAAAGAAAATCAAATTGAATTACTTGTTTGTTTGCTTGGTTGCCTCCACGATTTGTTGAAATCAAAATGATAACGCTTACTGTTTGTAATTGTTGGCCTGCCAGGTACATGAGTTTCAGTCAAATCGCTTTCATATGTTTCAATGGAACTCCATTCAGTAAACGGTCCCGTTCCATTAACAGTCATTGCGGCTATTTTCACCTGATACACCGACTTCTTGTCCAATCCAAGCAATTCGTAGTGGCGCACATTAGCTGGCGTTGTTTCAACTTGAACATGCTTCTTTTGTTTCCGATATCGGATTTTGTATCCAGTGATCTGACCATTTTGTTCTTCTGGAGGTGGTGGCTGCCATCGAACTGTTATAGACTGATGGAAAAGGGTATTTAGTATCTAAATCTGTCAGAGGAAAATGACAAAACTAAATAACTTACAGTCGAACTGGTGGCTTCAAGTGTAACATTTAGAGGCGATTCGCTTGGTTCCGATGAGAATGTCTTCACTGTGATCTCATTCGACGAGTCACCCATGCCATTCCCATTAAATGGCACAACATATATGGAGTACTCGGTGAATGGATGTAATTCGGTTAAAGTACTTTCAGTTTCAGTGCCAAGGCCATCTACATACATATCAACACCGTCTGGTTCTGTATAATAAATGCGATATTTGCTAATGTTGCCGTTGGAAATGAGCGGTGGTGTCCATCGCACGTGAATTTCTTTGTGGCTTAGCGCCTGACCGACTATATTTCGAACTGCACCCGCGATGTTTTCATCCGGTTGCGTTGTCAGCTCGAAAACATTTGACGATTCACCGGGGCCATGATTACTGTTTCCAACCACACGAAAATGATACGTTTTACCCGGCAACACAGACTGAATAATTGCCGTTTGTTCATCGCGTGATTTGGTCGTTAATTTTCGCTCACTGTCGATTTGCAAAATAAACCATGCAATTTATGCTTAATACTTGAACATCATTTTTGTTAATAAATAATTCATCTGCACATACCGTTCGCTTGACGTCATTTTGTAAAATACTGTATAAGAAATAACTTCATCTGGATTCTTGGCTGGCTCCATCCAACTGAGAGTCACATACCGATTGACTAATTGTGCAACTAGATCCCTAGGTGGTCCCGGTATCAGCGCCTTCAAATTACTATCTCCATCTAAATGTTCGATTGATAAATCAGTAGATTGTTTAATGGCATTAGTTTTGTCGGCAACAATTGTTGATTTTCGATTTATTTGTTCGGTCTTTTCGTTCTCCTTTTGTGTTAATGAATGCAGCAATGTATTTAGATTAACATTTGGGTCGATCTGATGAATGGTCCCTTCATCTTCGTCATCATAATCATCGCCATTTTGATCATAATCTTCACTATTCAATTCTTCGTCGCTGCTCAATTTATCTTTCGACTGTAAGCTGTTAAAAATGCTCTTTGGTATTGAGTTTGTGGGCAGTTTTGGGCCCGTTGCCACCTTTGATGCGGCTGTATGTATCGGAGAATCGGCAACAATTACTTCGGTCGTTGATGACATGATCGGTTTATTTTTCATGTGATTCTCTTTAGCCTTTTTACCCTTTTTTCCTTCTAATTACATCGTTGTGGCAAATGCCAAACCAAAAACAATTCATAAATCACACGAACAGATTGTCAAACGCAAGAGCATGCAAAACGATCATTGACGAAACCAAACATGAACATAAAAAAAAAACAAGAAAAAAGGACACAGATATAGTTAAATAAATATAATTGAAGGTAACAAAATATAATTATTTAAGAAAACAAAGAAAGTTTTAAATTTGAAACAAAAATACCAAATCAATTTAAATAAATAAAATTAAATCCATTAAATGCCGAACCCCCTATTTTTAGTTTACCAAATATGTTGTATCTTAAACAAAGGATTTGCTAGAAATAGAAAAAAGTACGGTAGACTTACTTGGAGTGGCAATTTCTAGTCTTGCTGCTGCCTGAACACTACCAGCCGAATTGTGTCTAAATAATAAATACATTTGGTCGAACGGAAAGAGCGATTTAATACACAGTTCCAAATAGAGATTAATACATGCATTTTTTTACCCAATACACTGGAACATTCCGGCGTCGGTTTCAATCAATCCGAGAATCCGCAAATTATGTCTGAATAATAAATTTGATCGAAGAGAAATAATGATTTAATACATAGTTCCAAATTGAAAAGAATGCCTAATAATTTTTCGTACCCATTCACAATTTGCATGTAGTCATTTGGTGTGATAACATCGCCATTTTTAAGCCATTGCACGATAGGTGTTGGTTTGCCTCGTATTGCACACACCATTTCCAATTCGTCTTTCTCATAAGCAATACGATCAGTTGGATTTTGAATGAATTTTGGAGGCACTTGAACCAGTAAAGAAATTTCGATATCTGCCGATTCCATACTATTACTTGCACGACATTGATAGTTCCCGGCGTCTGTTTCACCAATCGATATGATTTGCAGCGAACCCGTTCCAATTATTCGATATCTTGGATTCGAGTCACTGACTTCAATATCTTCACCATTTCGGAGCCATTTAATTTGTGGTTTTGGATTGCCATTCGCAACACAATCCAATGTAACAGTTTCTCCTTCGTTCACTGTTTTCGACGTTGATTCGGTCAAAAATGTTGGCGCTTGGAATTGTTGCGGTTCACCGCCAGCTTTGATATTTAAATTAGTTTTACTACTATGTCTGAAAAAAATTTGATAAAAGAAAATATAGTGGTTTCGTTCAATTTTCCAATGTTGTCGTTCCTTCAAATAATCTAATGAAGAACTTACGTATAAAAAGTTCCTGAGGTAACGTTGCACTGATACGTTCCTTTATCAGCTGCGACCAGTTCATCAATTTCAATTGCACCAGATGGAAACAATACCATTCGAGTGTCGTCAAGACGCAAGGGCATATCATCTTTAAACCATTGAACATGATATTTGCCCAAATCGGATGTTGCCGGCGATGCTAAACACTTGATATACGCCGTTTGACCGGGATACAAATGGAGCTCTTCAAATAAATTATTCGTTTCAGGCAATTCTATTTAATGCAAAGAAAAAACAAATCAATAAATTTAAAATCGATTTTGAATAATGGTCATATGAGTGGTTTGGAGCTAAAATGTTATACAGAAAAGTTGAGCGGAAAAATGTCGATGATGAATGAGCGGAAAAGGGATAGCTATATAGTAAACTGTATAGTAAACTATATAGCTATCTCTTTTCATTTGACATTTTTTCTCTCAACTTTTCTGTATAACATTTTCGCTCCAAACTACTCATATATGAATATATTCATTACGAAAGAACGAATGGAATCACTCACTGGAAATGGAAACAATCGCAGACCGGCTGACAATTGTTCCGATGCCATCGCTACTGAGCAAACATTGATAGGCACCGGTTAGACCTCGATTTTCCTCTACTGAACTGATGTACAAAGATCCATTTTCGAGTTGGGTCCTAAATTAAGCAATTATCATGTAACCAGAATGAGAGAAAGTCCAGAACAGAAATCGTTTTTATGGGAAAAACGCATAAACAAAAATCGCCCGCATACAGTTTCATTCAAAATATCAATTTAAGTCACATTTTGAGCGTCACATGACGTCTCTCTCTCTCTCTCTCTCTCTCTCTCTCTCTCTTCGTTGTACGAATGGGCAGAATTAATAACACTGTAATGTTTTGTGTTGTATTTTGACCTCACTTACCGAAATGTATCACCAACGATGCCAATATCTTGACCATCTGGTCCCCTCCATCGTATGTTCGGCAGCAAATCCAAACGGTTTTTGTTGAACTTTCGCTTCGTTAGCAAATGATCAGTGTTTGTGTGTGTTATTTCACCCTCACATGGCAATAAAATGGAACTTCCTTCAGATACAACGATATTGCTTGGTTCGATCGTAAATCGTATGGCTGAACAATTAAGAATGGAAACAGAAACGACATTGAAATTCGAAATTTAAATCTACAAAAATGTCATGCACACATGGAAAACTATTTGGATATAAGCGGCTTATACAACGAAACCAGAAAAATACTAGCTTGTTTCATTATTTATAATTTTTTCCTTTCGACTGATAACGATCGGACTGCAAACCAATCGAATAGACATATATTGAAACGGCGTTCTGCCTTTGATGTTAGTTAGACATAATCTCAAATGAAAATTTTATAAAAATTTGATGATTAAGTAATGAAATATGATAAGAGCATACTTATTTTCTTACTATTTTAAAACAATATATACTTTTTTTTTAAATTCCTGAATGCTAGCACTTAGTGAATGAGACAGTCACAAGATTTTCTTCATAAGCAATTATATGGAAACTAACTGAACTGATGTATCTGATTTTCTCGCTGGAAAAGTGTTTTCTTTGGCAATGTACCTAATCAAATTTAATGCGTGAAAATTCATTTACTCACTTTGGCTAGCATTGATGTTCGTAAACAATAATACAGATACAGTGGCGAACAAAAATATCGCCTTATTTCTCATCTTTGTCATTTCTGTAGCCGTGGTTAGATCTATTATCATATTGTTGTTGTCGTCTTCGTAGTCGTCGCACAGAATCGATTGTATTCCATTATCCAACGATGTGTCGTGAATTCGGCTACAAACTACTTGGTTCTTGTTGCTTTTGGATTTGTTAACACAAATATTCAACCATTCCAATGGATTTATCACGGTTATAAATTACGAAACTAAACCGAGAAATGAACCTTTTGTATGCAAAGTGTGAACCAACAAATCGAAAATGGTACAATAAAATAATCCGCCAATTCAATTCACCATTACAAATGAGGAAGAAATAAATAAAATGTCACTTCATGTTTTCAAATCCAATGATTTCAACACTCGCGAAGTTCAGGTCCTTTTTTACAATTGTAATAATTTTTTTCTAAATCAAACAAAATTACCAATGGATGTTTCAAACACACATAAATTTGCTAAGAAGTCATTACACTACATACAGTCTTCATGGTTGTTATTGTCAATGCGGAAAATTTGATGACAACATCCAGCAATGTTGTATTGTTCAGTTTGAGTGAGTTTCCTGAAAATGTTTCTCGGTCTTTTTTTCCTCTCACTATTCACACTGTTATTTTACTAAAATAGTATGCAAACAAAATCACAAACACATTTTTTATAGATGGTCAAGATTAAAACACACACAAAATAGTTTGAAAAGCGATCCGAATGTGGTAAATTGAATCAGTCGGGCGCACACTTCGCCATTTAAATTCAATTTGAGTTATGGGCATCGCAAGCGAGTTTACACTTAAATGTAACAACAACAAAACACAGAAGAAAAATATTTACGCGCATCACACACATACACATCCACATGCACACACATTCACGCATGTATGAGTAGATGCATTCGGTTTTGCTTGTGCAAGGCGAAGCATCTGTGTTTATCATACAATTAAGTGTCAGACGTGCTTTGGTGTGCGTTATATTAGCTAGACAGATGGAAGGATGGAACACACCTACATTTTTAAGCATCTGTGAATGCCAAGTGACCAAATCGACATAGAAATGACGGCTAAAACTTGAAATTTTGTCATCAAAATCAAATGCAATACGGGAACAAATGTGTCCACACAAATGTAATGGTCTTCGTAAATTGAAAGAATTCGATTTCACGCTGAGAAAATATTCAAATTTTGTCGTCGAAAAAATCAATGCAAAACGAAAAGTCATTAACTCAACGAAAATGCTTGAATTCGTTGGTGGCGCCACTAAAACTCAACCAAACTCGACCGCCATATTGGTAAACTGGTAGCATCTATCAAAGTCTTGTCTGCTTTGCCGTGAGCTCTTTCTTTACAAATTTTGTGCTTGCGAAGAGACGTATCCGTCTTCTTTCTAAGTGAATAAATAGGTGAATATCAAACAAAAATATTGCAATTTCCACAAAAAAAATCCATGAAATTACCAAAGATATATTCAGTGCATACGATAAAAATGATTTCTTTGGAAATTATTGTGCAAATTTGGAAATAAATATAAATTTAAGTGAAATTAGTGGACTGCACAATCTACACGTGTTTAATATAATGTGTTGAATTCTTTGCACGCGTATAGGTTATGTTAGTTCCACTAATTTCTATAGCAAGTATAAACCTATCTTGCATTAATTCAACATAATTTTAGCATTTTACAGGAATTTTGGTATTTTAATCGGAAAAATATTGTTTGTGCTTTTTAAATTATACAGTTAAAATATGGTTACATATGACCGATAATTGAAAAATGCGTCTTACTATGAAATGACAATAGTGTAGATACAACACCAGCTCGTGTTATTCATTTGATATATGCATTACATTGGAGCCGCATTTCAATTTTGTTATACGTCAATTGTATACGTTCTAGCTATCAAGCTGCTAATAAGTGTCTTGTTTTCTCTTTGCTATTTTACAGACTAAATCAAAATGTCATCGGCCGCTGTTATTCGTACCCGTAAATTCATGACAAACCGTTTGTTGGCCCGCAAACAAATGGTCTGCGATGTGTTGCATCCAGGTTTGTCATCGGTCAGCAAAAAAGACATCCGTGAGAAATTGGCTACCATGTACAAAGTCACACCAGATGTTGTGTTTGTCTTCGGTTTCCGCACAAACTTCGGAGGTGGCAAATCGACCGGATTCGCATTGATCTACGATACATTGGACTTTGCCAAGAAATTCGAACCAAAATACCGTTTGGCTCGTCATGGCTTGTACGAAAAACAAAAGCAAACACGTAAACAGCGCAAGGAACGCAAGAACAGAATGAAGAAGGTGCGTGGTACCAAGAAAGCAAAGGTTGGCCAAGCCGGAAAGAAATAAGATGCATTACCATCAATAAGAACACCCCCTTAAACATCTTTATTATTGATTATACTTTCTGGTAATCGCATCAAGAGAAAAAAATGTGAGGGAAGAAGATCTTCTCTCTTTTTTGTCAACAAAACAGTTTTTTTTTCTCAATAAATATATGTGTTATCGAAATGTATACAACACAATTTAAAAAAAAAATCATGAAATTTGTTGTTTTTTTTTTCTTTCAATTTTTAAATCATTTTCAGCATCAAATTTAACTGTAGTTCTTAGTGCTCTGTTTCATTTTTTCTACATTCAAATGGACCATACTAATCGATTAATGTAATTAACAGACGCTTTGGATTCGTTTTCTTTCCCATATTCTTGTTGAAATTATTGCCCAATAAATTAATTTGAAAAAAAAATCTAGATATTCAATGAAAATACAGAAGATATCATCATTGCGCTTTCATCTATGTGAACGAGTTCATACGAACACGAGAGCACACCGTGTGAACGCACTCTATACCAGTCTCTCTCGCTATCCCTCTATGAACGATTTGTAAAAATTGTGCAAACAAAAAAGCCAAATGTCAATATTGATTGTACGGAAGAGTAAAAAAAAGTCTTACATCTTGTGAATAGAGACTTGAAACGCCCAGCTGACTTTCAAATTGAAACACTGAAAAGCGATATCAAAGACACTGAAAAAAACGAAAATATCTTGTTATAAGTTATTTGAAATTCAATTAAGCCACTTTACGTTTTGTCATACAGCTAAAACAAAGGAAGATTTGTAAGCGATAGGCAAGTGAATTTCAATAGCAAGTGCAATGTCTGGTGATCACAAAACAATCATCAATGGAAATCCATCACAATATGTTAAATTAAATGTTGGTGGTCATTTATTTCATACCACAATCGCGACGCTGACTGCAAAGCCCGACACAATGCTTCAAGCAATGTTTAGTGGCCGAATGGAAGTGCTCACCGATTCTGAGGGTAATCTATTTAGCCAATTAAATACCAGTGTGCCTATATAACATGAAAATCAAATCGAATCAAATATTTGTTTTGTTCAGGATGGATAATGATTGATAGATGTGGAACACATTTCGGTACAATCATGAATTATTTGCGAGATGGTAGCGTGCCACTGCCTGAGACGCCGAAAGGTGTTGCAGAATTGCTGGCCGAGGCGAAATACTATTGTATCATAGAGTTGGCCGACTCCTGCGAACGTGCATTGATGAAAAAAGAACCAGAGCCAATCTGTCGCATTCCATTGATAACGTCGCAAAAAGAGGAGCAATGCTTAATTGGCACATCGACCAAGGTAATTGGACTTGTAATTCATGGAAAATTTATTTCAACTTTATTTTCATTGTCATCGTTAATCGTTTCGTTTCATTCCAACATAGCCTGTTGTCAAATTGCTGATTAATCGACATAATAATAAATACTCATACACTCACACCTCTGATGACAATCTGTTGAAAAACATCGAACTTTTTGATAAACTATCGCTGCGTTTTAGTGGCCGAATTCTTTTTATTAAGGATGTGATTGGTTCGAATGAAATATGCTGTTGGTCATTTTATGGCAACGGACGCAAAGTGGCCGAAGTGTGTTGCACATCAATCGTTTATGCCACCGATAAAAAGCACACAAAAGTGGAATTTCCCGAGGCACGAATCTATGAGGAGACGCTGCAAGTGTTATTGTACGAAGATCGAAATGCACCCGATCAAGATTTACTTCAGGCAACATCAAGCTATAAACAAGTTGGTGGTGGTGGTGGCGCTGTCGGCGGCATTTCAACTTATACCAGCGATGAAGAAGAAGAACGATCGGGTTTGGCGCGGCTACGGCTAAATAAACAAAATACGGGCACATGATTCACACGGCAACTAAGCAATAGCTTTCGAAAAGGATTTTTACCAAAGAAAAAATCACACTAAATTATTCCACAATGAGAACATTGAATTTAAGAAAAACCAAAAAAGGTCTAAATCGCACTCGAGACACAAATACACTCAGACTCATTTGATGAATATTCGTTGGAGTACGCGTGCAAGCGACGAAAATCAATGGATTCAATTATATTACATATATTGTTTTGTATGGATAGAAAAAAGACATTGCGGTCTTATTATGTGATTTATTTTCCTTTTTCTTTTTGTAATTCCCTGTTCTGTGTGAACGCATTTAATATTTCTTCCAATGTCTGGTTGGTCAGTTTCCTATAATTTCTTCGTCTATTTTTTCTTCAGTCCGTAGTACTAAACTGATTACATCGGCATATGAATGCATCAATAATTTTTCTTCTGAATAAGTTTAAAAAAAAACCTAATTTACGCCAGTATAAATCGAAGTTAAAACTCACAAACGCATTCATCTCAGGTCGAACAAAATTTTATTACTCAGCAAAATTAAACTTTCGGCGAAAATACGAGAGAAATGTGACATTTTGTGACACTGCCAAAAACCGTGTGTTGTTAATTGATAACATATTTTTTTTTGCTAAAAAATATTTTTTTTAACGGAAATAAATATTTACCATCATCGATTGTACCCAACGATATGATGTTTCAAACAAACGAAATTACAAGAGACACAATCGCATGGATAATTTTTATCAAATATGAAAATATTGACAAGGTCTAAAATTAGTATAAAATATATGTATTTCCATTGTATTTAATGATATATTTGGTAAGAAGTTTCTTTCCAATAGATTGTGTAACACGTAAAGGGAAAATGCAGCAAAATTGTTGCGACAGGCATATACATGGCAAATGATGATTTGACTGACAATTGTTTGTTTATTGAATAAACACGAATAAAATGTTGAAATGAATTCTTCTTCATTTGTTTTGTACGTGAGAAAATGGAATGAATGTGTAACTGTGATTAACTAGCACATTTGCTCAATAAAACAATTTCATCTTCGATCGATTAGATTTTTTATTTTTATTTTTATTTTTTTTATTTTTCCATTTGAAATTTGATATCAATTACAAAAAAGTAGTATTGATGATCGCGATGAGTTCAAAATGGAGGGGGAGGAAATCCTTCGGCAAAGGCCGGCGCCGGAGGTCTTGGCGGCATCGGTGGAGGTGGAAATGCTGATCGTGGACCAAAAGCACCTGCGAATGTCAATGGTTGAATTAATTGAAATTAGTATAAATCGGAAACAGCATGGCAGCTACAGCCTTAGTTGTTGTTCATGTTAAAGCAGGGAATGGTTCCCCTTAGAATTATTCAAATAAATTTATCCGATACTTTTCATGCGTTCCCTTGTTGTAACGGATTTGCAGTACAAAGTTCATATTCCCTTCCAAATTTGCCGAGTCAAATAATGCGATTTAGCATTTTCATGAAGAACAAGTACTAGGGGAATTTACTTCCAGAACACATTGGACCAAGCCGGATCCACCGCCTGTCCCACAAGATTCACTTCCAGCTCAGCCAATACTCCAAAAACGGTATTTTTGAATAAAAGCAAACGAAAACAAGCTGAGCTGGAAGTGATCTTGTGGGGCAGGTGGTTGGACCCGACCTGGTCCAAAGTGTTCTGCAAGTTAGAGTACTTTAGCAGTCATCCCTTCGGGAGGGTGAATCGATTTATTTTTGCCGAATTCCACTCGGAACAGTCCCACATTTTAAGACTTTAAGACTCGGCAAACCGCTTAGCGATGCGTTCACTGCAAAGCATGAACGTTCATGCGTGAACAAGTGAAGAGCAACAGACTTCGTTCGCCGCAAAGCGAGCGCATCACATTTATCGCATAAATCTATCGCATGAATTTATTCAGCGTGATGGATTTAGCGCATAACAAAGCCTGATTTATTTCAATAAATTTATGTGAAGACACATTCCCTGTGTTAAAGTGGTATAGAATGTGTCGATTACCTGGAGGTGGTGGAAAATTTTGCCACGGAGGCAAAGGTGGCAATCGGGCTGCCGGTGCTCCGGGTAAAGGTGGTTGATGAGTCGGCATGATCTACGTGAAACAAAAAGAATTGTTATTCAATTTATCAATTGAAATCCAATTGAATATATTGTTGTGAAGTGTTTGTTGTACATACCGGTCTGGGTGGTAATGGTGGTGGCGGAATAACGTTTACAAACTGGAAGAAAAATTGGTAACGTGAAATATTGAATTAATATTATCAATAGAAAAAAAAGCGAATATTGAAAAATAAAAACTTTACCTGTGTTGCTGGTAATGGGGCAGGGGGTGGTGCAAACGGCATCGAAGGAATTGGGGCATCAGCAAACAACTGATGAGGTCTATCAGCGTGTGATAATGGATTTTGTGCGGCTAATAGACGCTCGGCAGCTGAACCATGTCTTTCGCCCTTTGAGTCCTTTTTAAATGCATACGATACGGTAATCGGTCGATTACATAAATACTGTCCATTCATCGCATCCATTGCCGCGTCAGATGCCTCAAAACTAGCAAAATTGATGAAAGCGAATCCTTTCGAATTACCCGTTTCTGGATCGCGCATAATCTATTCACACAAACACACACACAAAACACGAAAGATCATTAATCGAATGTTTGATTATTATTTGCTTATGTTACACATACTTTTGGTGTTTGTAAAATAACTCCAAATGCTGAGAATGTGTCGTAGAGAAGTTTTTCATCCACTTCGGGATCTAAATTGCCAATAAATATGTTTGCTCCAACATCCAAATTCTTTTGATGCGCTGATGCTTTGTTTACACGAATCGGTTTTCCATACAATTTAATCATATTCATAATCTTTATGCCGTAGTCAGCGTCATCTTCGCTAAGAAATTCGACAAAACCATATCCTTGGTGCATTTGCGTTACTCGATCTTTTGGCATGTGAACATTTACTATTGGAATTCAACAAAACAAAACAAAAACAGAAAAAAAACAACGTGAGCATTAACAACATTCATGAAATGTGTGTAAGAAATCCAAGTGAAATTACCAACTGGACCGGCTTGTACGAAAAGTTCCCATAGAAGAGATTCCGTAACTTTGTCATCCAAGCCCCCAACATAAATTGTAGCATCTATAAAGAGATGGATTGATTAGTTTTTGTAGAGAGAAAAAATGTAATTTACATTGAAAATATGTTCAAAAACCGAATGAAATATTACCTTGATTACGTTCTGCTATTGGACCGGCTGCCATTTTTGAAGCGATTGACAGTGTTTTGTACAGATTACGATAAACGTATCGGCGAGAGAGCTGTCAGATTGTGTCAGTCAGTTTGTTTTGGGACAAAATGAACATAACCGCAACATATATGTGTATGTTTGTGGATAGGCGCGCGCTCGCATCGGTAATTCATATATCTGTCACTAGAACTACAAAAAGCATCAGTAATTGTGGTTTAAATATAAACAGAAACTGACAAACACAAAATAATAATAATGTTGGACGATGATTTTTTCGAATTGGACGAGGATCTGCTCAACGCAACAGATTTTAGTAAGAAATTTGACGAAATAAGTGAAGAGGGTCATATCAGTCAAAATGTGCGTTTCCTAAATTGTACCGGCGATGATCAATTGACCAAGCACACATTCCATGCCCAAAGTTTCGTTGCGAATGATGAAATTAAATTGATCGAAAGTAATTTGAAGAAATTTCACAATCAAAAACTGTTCGATTTAGAGTTTTCGGAAGATATTCTAACTGATCCATCCGTACTACAGAGTTTACTCGGTAAAGTCAGGTAAGACACATTTAAAACTTATAACTGATCTATCTAGGTATAGATTGTATTTGATTTTTTCTCTGTGTCCCTCTGTTGTTCTTCAGGATGAATGTTCAAACATTGATTATGTCTTCGAGAGAGAATAGTACTTTTGTTACAAAGAAGAGCTACTTCGCAATGCGTCAACAAACAACAACATTCCTCTTTCAGTTGCGTCATTTGCTATTTACTGGTAGAATAAAGCATAATGTCCTCGAAGATTTATTGCGACCCTTTGCCATATATTTGGAACAACTAAATGCACTTCCCATTATCGATGTGTTGCACACCATTCACAGTACGCTCGGAAATGAAGTAAGTAGATCTGAGGCTGAAATCATTTGATTTCTTGACAACAACAAAAACATCTCTGAAAATCATTCCATTTTAGTCGACATCTCCTGCTTATCACTTATTACATGGACACATTGAATGGCGATGGATTTACATCACGATCTGCTTGCGCATTGAACAGGATAAACTTCATCAAAATCTTATGATCACCGAGAGCACGCTGCGAAATACGCAATTTGAAGAGAAGATTCAATTGTTCCTGTATGACTTGATTCTTATTTCGGCAGCAAAGTTCAACAAAGTAACTTGAACAAATAATCAAAAATTGGTTTTGCATTTGAAATGAATTAAAAGCATTTATCCCAATTGTTTTCAGTTACACACTACAGAGTTACCGCCAAAAAGTCCATTCACATGTTCGTGCATGAAAGAAATTTGGCTACTGGTTCAGTTACTAATTGAGAGACTTTACGAAAATGGTGGACAGTTGAATTCATTTTGGCACTATTTCGACTTGACGTTAAATTTTCATCGGGAGCGCAAAAGTATTTCTTCATTACCTTGGAAATAAAAACAATCCATCAACACATTCGCATTTTTCAGGTCTATACGCTGCAATGAAACAGCCATGTATTTCCCGCGATGTGACCGCTGTTTTTCCCAATGATTCAACCGTCTTCTCATTGTGGCTACTAAATGGTGTGGCGATATTGCATGGCTATTCAGAAAATGGAACCTATAATGGAGCCGATAGCTTACGTGTTAGGGAAAATGCCGTACTTTTAGAATCTCTCTTGAAGGCACTTGTTTTGGCTGAACCCAGCGAACAACATTTACGCGCTTCATTGCTCATTGTCAATTCATTGTTGAGCACTTGGTGGCCACAAAAGCCGGAACTTCTTATGACATTTTGGGAGTATTTCCATAAAAAATTAAATTCATCATTCTGTGTCAATGGGGCAACACCAGCCGCTTTAGCTGTTATTGGGTGAGCTCTTTCTCACACATCCACTCAATTTTGGTGAAATGCACAATTTAATTGCATTTTCTTTATTGAGTAACGCTTTCTTTTTTTCACACAGAAAAACCGCCTCGGAATATTTAGAGCAAATACGAAAATTAATCGACAACGAAAATATTACCACCGATATGAGTAGCTATATGATTTTTACGAATCTATTGGGAAAAGTTCTCAAGCGTCTAGTGCAATCGGATACAAAAAATCATATCATGAAAATTATTGGCAAGTATTTTAACTGCGATGGACGAAAATAAGTTCTTTCACCAGAATGATATAAATTGAAATGGTTTCTTTCAAAATATTTAGGTCGAATTTTCGCCAAATTTGGAGAGTCAAAGCTGAATGCATTAACTGAAGTCGGTATCCATAATTTGCTTACGTTATTCCTGATTTTGGCATCAGTTGTCGGAGTGAAAGAAATTGTAATCAATTTATGACATTCAGACCATTTGTACAGATCTAAATATTTGTTATTTTGTTCATTGATTTCCGAAAAGGGACAACGATTACACTCCATTTTGCTTCAATTGAGACTCGAAAAACTGTCGGCCCCGCGACAAAGTTGTTTGATGAAGGGTCACATGGCGCTATTGATTTTGTATTCGCAACAAAAGGTGAACACGCAAAATTATGTCAGCCGAATTTTAGACCAAATCAATAAACTGAATTCGGATGAAAACAAATTGCCCATTCTTCGGATCATGGTTGATGCATTGGAACGTATTTTCGAAAAATCAGACATGTTTGCCAACGATGAGTACATGATTCTCGGTGAGACTTTTACAATGTGTCCGGAAAGTATATTTTCGCATTGTGCGAAATATTGAAAATATGCGTTCCTTGGAATTTCCCTTAAACACTTTCTTAATCGTTGGAATTATTTTTATTATTAAATGTAATAACCTTTTCAGATTCATGGATTTTCGACTATTTATCGTATTGTTCACAGTCTGAGCAGGAAAAATGTTTGCAGTTTGTCAATAAATTTTTCGTGTGTATCGGCAAAGATATGCGTTTGAAGCAACAGTATCCAGAACAGCACCAGAAAGTCATTCGAACTCTTTATAAATATATTTTGCCATTTGTGAAACAGATTTATCGACAGAGTAATGTATTTGGGGGCGTTCCCGATATTGCAGCCACGTTCGCACTTCATGCTAATGGTCAGGATGGTTTAGCGAATTTCCAAGATCTATTCAAACATTTTACAGAGGCTACATGCTGTGATATACAGTAAGAACACACTTTTCATTCCCACTTTAAAGATGCAATTGTTTTTCATTTTTGTTCATTTAAATTTCAGGACGACCACCAAATTTTTATTAAGTATTTTGATTGATGGATATTTGGAGAAAATTAAGCAAATAGTGATTATTCGTTTATGGCTAAAGTGCTCTATGCTTAGTCCTAGTCCGAATGAGGTTTTTCATTTCATAGCATCAATCAAAATTATCTCTGAAATTAGTATACTGATCCTTTCCGATTGTAGGATATTCGCCAATTGACCAGAATCGTTCTTACTCTACCCGACTTTTCATTGCTGTGCAAAACGACTGAAACTGAAATTCTGGGTGCCAAAGAGCCATTAAGTGTTTTCTTTGCATCGTGTGGCAAACTGTATGAAAACGCTTCAGATCAAACACGAAAACAAATTGCTGAACACTTGCAATCAGCTCTATTGGGTTTCGAAAAATGGGTTCCAATGTCAGAATCACCTCCAGCAATCTTCAAAATTCACATTGTGATCGCACTGATAATATTCAACTGTTCCCCAATCGTTTATGTTCGAGTGAGTATCTATATGCACCCAATGGATATTCTTTTAAAAATTTAAACATACACAATTATTTAAATGTATATCATTTCAGTCAAAGCCGACATGTTTCTTTTCTGTGATAATGAACCATTATATTTTGCCATTGCCATTACTGACGGGTAAAACGCAAAAACTCATCTCAATTCAAGCTGTTCATAAAGTATGGCATTTGATTGTTGGTGGTATTGAAAAGCTGGACTATCAATGTGATGCTCAACTTCAGAAAGTCTTCACTGATTTAGTTGTCAAGTGGATTCCACAATTTCGATTGGTGCGTTGAAATGGCAAAACAGATCGCAATTCTGATGGAAATAATTTACATTTCGTTGTTCAATTTCAGATACCGATGCAGAAAATCGCTTCAAAGCCATTCGTTGCATGTGCACGGCATAGCAAACCATCAACTTTACAGTTCATACTGGATAAAATGATAAATAGTTTTTTGTCAGCACAACGACGGGAGACTCATCAAAATGCACCAATGGTCGTTACTATTCTAACCGATATTTTGACTGAGACTGAAACGGATACCGTTCGGGTGCTCTTGAATACAACAATCATTGCTTTGTTTGAACATGCAATGATGGTGGATGAGAGTTTACCCAGTCGAACAATGATTTTTGACTTTTTCAGTGCTCTTTTCAAAACACCAACCTACATAACATCATTGGAAATCCGGTAGTTGAGAAACAGAATTCAAATTGATGCATTAATTTATTATTTAATCTACATTTTTTGAAAATTCTATTTTAGAACCATTGTCACATCGAATCTCAAGACATTAACAACAAAAAATCTCTCCTATTATGCATCGTTCTTCTTTCAATTCATGCAAAAATTAGCCCAAATCAATTCACGGTGTATTTTAGAGGTGTTGCCACACATCAAAGAGCAAGTTGAACACGTGGAGGAGCTGCGAAATGCTGGTACTGATGCAAGATTAAGGTAAATTCTTCAAAAAATCAATAGTATCATTGGTATTGAGCTGTTTTTATTTTTCATTTATTTTTATGCAGAAACTTATTGCGACAGTTGGAAGAAATCGTACGAAGATGATTATGGGTTAAACTGCACCTTTCGACTTTTGAACATGTTTCAGGCCTTTATTTTCTCTATTTTTTATTTACAAAATGACGAATTTTTTCGAATGATGATTTGAATAAAAGAAATATATCTTTTAAAATAACGACTATCGATTTGATTGTGTCCCAACATTGTCCCAACATTGTCCCAACATTGTCCCAACATTGTCCCAACATTGTCCCTAGTGTTATTCTCACGCATATAAAGACATCATTATACGTCAACCAACCGCAAATCTTGTGTGTATTTAAAGACAACATATGAATACATTGGTATTTATTGTGATTTTATCAAGCGCGTCGGATTATTTGTGTTTAGCTTATTAATCGAGCAGAACATCTGATATCTGTTCCTAAAAAAAGTGAAGCCTTTTTTAGATTTTTTTTTTCATTTCTTTTAAATCATATCATTTAATTACTTCTAGTCTTCTAAATAATCTTATTTGGATTTTGTGTAATCGAAAACTAATTTGCCGGTAGCAATAAATTTTCTTGTTGTCAGTTAGACATTGTAGCAATTTATAAGAATTTCTATTTTATCAAGATCATCAAAAGTGTATAAAATGTCGGCAATAACCAAAGGTATGTATATTTATTGGTGTGATCGGTCACAATCAGGTGAATTTATGTTGATAAGCATGTGTGGGCAAATATTATAACTAAAATTAAAATCAACACTTCAAAAAGTGTTGCATCAAACTAATTTGGACTTTGATCGGTGCGCGCATCTCCACTGAACAATGTACATTTGTACATTTAACGGGATCTGCTCTACCTTAAAAGGTTACATGCTCAACTCAATAGATAACATTACCTACACCAGAGTTTGATGGAAAAAATATTGTTTTGAAAAAGTATCGAATATGGTGGTAATTGCAAACTTTTCATTCACAAGGTATTTTCATTGTCGGAGCAAAACGGACTGCTTTTGGTACATTCGGTGGTACATTGAAAAGTGTCAGTGGAACACAACTGCAAGCGCATGCTTGCAAAGCAACACTTGAAGCAGCTGGTGTTCGTCCTGATCAAGTCGATACGGTTATCATTGGAAATGTTTTGGTTGTACGTATTCCCTGGTCATTTTTGTTTTCAAATGATAGCTCTTCAATTGGTCAAATGAAATAATCGATTGTTATTCATTTGATTTGGAATTTAGCCATCACAGTCTGACGGAATTTACATTCCAAGACACACGTCCTTGTTGTGTGGAATTCCCATTGATCGTCCTGCACTGGGTGTAAATCGTTTGTGTGGTTCAGGTTTTCAGTCGGTTGTCAACGGTGCACAAGACATTATTCTCGGTGCAGCGAAAATAGCCCTTACAGGAGGTGTTGATAATATGTCGCTATCACCATTCATCGTTCGTAATGTTAGATTTGGTACATCTCTAGGTGTTCCAAATGCATTTGAAGATTCTCTCTGGGTAAAAATGGAAAATTAAATCCAATTTTGAGGACCCATTAAATATTAATTCGTACTTGTTATTTTACAAAAGGCCGGCCTAACCGATTCATACTGTAAATCACCGATGGCTATTACTGCCGAAAACCTAGCCGTCAAACATAAAATTCCGCGTGAAAAGGTTGATGAGTTCGCAGTGCGCTCGCAAAAGCTTTGGAAGGAAGCCAATGATCAAGGCATTTTCAAAACTGAAATTGCACCATTCCCCGTTAAAATCAAGGGCAAAGACGTTGATTTTGCTGTTGACGAGCATCCAAAGTAAGTTGAAAATCGAGTAGAGGAAATAATGAATGATTTTTTCAAGGTTAAGATTTAACCATTAAATTAACTAACATCGCCATATTATCAAATGCATTTTTCATATGCGCTTATATATTGTGTTATTATTTGTCGTTTTGGACACACCACACACACACACACACATTCAAATGCAAAATTCAGTTGGATAATTTGTTTATTCCCGATAGACCACAAGCCACCCTCGAAAATCTTGCCAAATTGAAACCAGTTTTTAAAAAAGATGGTGTTGTTACAGCTGGAAATGCATCGGTGAGTAGGGTTGAATGTTAGCTACTAATTTTTCATACGTTTTGTTAATATATTTTTCATGGAAATCGAACAACAAAAATTTCAGGGTATTTGTGATGGTGCCGCATCCGTACTAATTGCATCAGAAGAGGCGGTCACAGAAAATAATCTCAAACCACTGGCTCGATTGGTTGCATACTCCGCCGTTGGTGTACCACCAGAAATTATGGGCATTGGTCCCGTTCCGGCCATTCAAAATGTTCTCAAAGTGTCTGGTTTAACATTAAATGACATTGATTTGATTGAAGTAAGTGTTTCTGATGAATATTCGTTCAGAAATTCGATGATAAATGAATTAATGAATAAAATTTATGATCATCAATTGTTAGATCAATGAGGCGTTCAGTGTTCAAACTTTAGCTTGTGCGGAATCACTTGGATTGGATATAAATAAATTGAATGTTAATGGCGGTGCAATTTCCATTGGGCATCCGTTGGCTGCTAGTGGCTCAAGAATCACTGGTCATTTGGTGCATGAACTGCAACGCAAAGGTTTGAAACGAGCAATTGGCGCTGCCTGCATCGGTGGGGGCCAAGGAATTGCAGTTCTCATCGAATCAGTCTAATTTAAAGCAAACAACACACATACATCAATTTTATATTATGCCTTTGTATTTTGGTTAAAGGGAAATTTATTTAAAAAATGATTCCTCTATGTTCGGATTAAAAACATGCTTAATTTCAAATAAACGTGTGTTCTGGTTCGTGTTTTTTACTTGAGGAAAATCCATTCTATTGTTGAATACGGCTTAAAATTGTCCATAGTGACCACCATAATCCTTACATATATGGAAATACCTTACATCGTCCCGAACATTCTATTGCTTTTCTATTCTGTTCGAATATATTCAGATTGCACACGTTGTATACTTTTTCTGCACAAATGCATTACCGGCGTTGGTTCATTTTACCTGAAAAGAAACAGCGCATGAAAGAGACTGTATCAGAATTGAAGTCTCTTCTGTTTGCTTTTACGCTTCATCTTTACCTGTTTTACTTTGGCATATGATTTTTCAGCAACACTCGAAACTCGTTGCTTGCAATCAAGTATCCAGCAAAGATGATGATGAAAAAGAAGAAGAAATTTAGACAAAAAGAGTGAAATGCTTATTCTTCCACACATTGGTTTTAGCTCATCAGCGCTGCGTTGAGTGACTGTTTGTGCAGTTTGAGTAGTTTTCAGACACGTTTTGAACGTTCTCTTTTTCACCTTGCGCCAGAAGAATATATTTGATGATCGCAGACGAGTGTATAAATGTACCGATATCACATTTTTTTCAGTCATACGTTTAACTTTTTTCAAATTCTTCATCGAATTCATCGTATCCACGTCCAATGTCGTTGTTCGCATTGAACGGATTCAATTTCTGCAAATAATTTGTAAAAATGTGTACATTTTGTTCAAGCAATCCAGTAGTTTAGCGCTTCGTATGGTCGTTGAGTTTCACTTTGTACTTTGCGATATTTAAGCGGAAAAAAGAATTTCTAATTTGTCGATATCGAGGTAGGAATAGTGTAGCGAAATATGACTCATTGAAAATAAACTGAGTTCTTGCGCAAGGTCAAACACACTTTCCGCGCGCGGTAACGCTAATTTCATTATATACGAGAACTCGTACCGCAGAGAAGCAACCAATTTTTCTTGTAAGTGAGTGAGGTACATTGGCTTTTTCATGTCTCGATTTGCCGCATTTCCACTCACATCTTTTGGTTGACCGTAAAGATGAATTGAGCACAGTTTGAAATTTGAAGAGAAAAAAATGGTATGAAGATGATCGCAAGCGATGTTTTTGCTTTAAGCAAGTTCAACATCTGTTTTCTTGCACACGTCGTAGATTGAGTAGAAGAAAAAAAAATCCGAGAGAATGGATCGGTTGCGTAGGTAGCCAATTCCGTACGTTAGGCACATCGTATTGTTTGAGGTTTGAGTGAGAATTCATTGAGTGATTTGTTGACTCGAATGAGTTATTGCATGAGTCTGATATTGTGTATACCTACGATCGTTCACTGCACACAATCATTGAGTCAGTACTCCGTTGCGCTTTCGTCACTTAGGTTCAGTGTGTTAAACGTGAGATACGTGTGCTTTGCTTTTTCATTTATTGTTTGCGTTGTACTTTGCAGCGATAGAGAGGGAGAGAGAGTGTATAACAATAATAACATCTCGTGTATCATTCGGTAAATATTATTACGGTGTTTCGCATATATTATTTGGCCATTGATTTTTAACTTTGTTGCGCACAACGAAAAATCTAATGTAATAATTACATTGCAAGTGAAATATTTCCACTGTAAGAAAGATTTCAAAATTTAGCTGAGCCCGCTTGCATCGTTATCAGATAAACGTGACAGTTAATCAGTAATTTATCATCTGAAGTTTTATTCCTTTTTTCTCATAAAAGTTAAGTATGTGTGTGTGTGTGTGTACTCGTGCAACTCAACCTGAACAATCTAACAACGAAATAGAGCAAATCAAAATTACATTCAGTATATTGAATGTTGAACGTTGGTTTTATTATCGCTCTTCCAAAAAAAGAATATTGTGATCGACAGAATGGGTTTAAATGTATGGAGAAATTAATAGTGGTGTATAGTGTCGGTGTAACATCAAATATTGAAGATGTCACAAAGTTACGAGTAGAAAAATGAACATTATCGAAAAAAAGAGGCAAACGTTCATCTATTTCTTGGGTGTGTAAAATATCACTTTATGCAATTGAATGAAGTTCAACGAATGTAAAGAAAATGGTGAAAAAAATGCAAACGGAAAGGTTTCTTTTATGGATTTATTGAGTTTGAGAAACAGATGTGTCAAATAGGTGATGGCAAGGATTTTCGTTTAAAAATTACCGGATATTTTCTGTATTGCATATATTTTGCAAATCTCTATGTCTAAGATACGTTAACCATTTTTCCATCCCAGGTGAGACGTGTTTATGGTCGTTTCTTATGAAACACAGCATTCGAAAATGGAGATAGAGAAAAAAACGTTGCAAAATATTACATATAAAAACAGTTCAATAATTCGTACATACTTTCTGCCATTTGTTGTTGTTATTGTTGTTCAATAACACTCAGTGAGCAAACTAGCCAAAAACGTTCCAGCAAAAACTTCAAAAAAAGAAGAAACGAAAAAATAGGGAAAATGGTCCGGTTAACTCGTTTCATTTCATTGCCTTCGTTTGCATTTCTTTGAATCTTATGCCCTGTGTGCAAGTTTATTTATATACTTGTGTTTTTCCTAGTGTACTGTCCTTCATTCGCCGTTTTTCGCGCATTTTGTTGCAGCATTTTTCGTTTTGTGTTGTCATCATTGTAAATATGTATGTGAGTATGTGAACCGAAACGCTCACACAGCGAGCTCCCGGTTCTTGTTGCCTTTACTTATTGGCGACGTGGTTCGAGAAGTTCTCTCCATAGATGTTGACGCTTCGCTACTTTTTAAAACCATTACCACATTAAATGTATTAATCCGATGGGAAATTTGGATTTATCCCCCACCTTCAAATTCATTGTTTTTATTTGTATGTAACATTTATGAGTACAACCAAAAGCAAAAGTAGAAGGAGAAAAACACATTTCCTTAATCAAGGTATATCAGAAGTTCTGAACCGCTTGCATTAGGCTCTGTTTTTGTTCATATTCATCTCATTTTCATTGTGTGACAATATATATTGTACTTGATTGGAAATAAAGCTTGAAAATTTTAATTCAATGTCGTCAATGATCACGAAATTTGTATATTGTATGTATCACCCTTGAAGATGTATTCATTAGTGGAATACACAAGCCATATTTCACTATACATATATCATAATTGGGTAACTGAAAATAAAAGTTTTGCTGTCACAGTTTGCGGAGAAGCGTAACAAATCATTGGTTTTTTAAAAAAATTATTATCTGAGCAAAATCACAATTTTTCTCAGGCAATTGTGGATTCGATTTCGAAAGAATTCGACCAAAAAATTATTCATCTAGAATACGTAGAATGCAAGTCTTGTAAGATAATTTAGAATATTTCATCCAGAGTGTTCTCAAATTGATTTAAATTCTCTCATCTTTTCTCACTATGCAAAGCAAAGTCAAAGAAATTCGTTGAATCCAATTTGTTTTATCGCTTCCATTCGAAAAATGTAAATGTTTTATTTTGCTATATGTTAAAATATTTTGCCAACGTGCGGAAACTCATAGAAAGGCACGTTAAGGAATTACATATATTCATAGTCGAGCCACTTACGATTTATCGACAATGGACTTCAGTTTTACGAACGCGTATAATTATGCAAGAAAAACACTGATTCGAAAGGTATACGGGAGTCGAAATCCACTGAATTGAATGCATCCAGTTGCATCTATGTAATATCGTTTCGTAGCGTTGAAACAAATGAATGTGTGTGTGTGTGTGTGTGTGTGTGAGAGAGAGAAAGAGAGAGAGAGAAAAAGAAAAAGAGTTAAAGCAAATAGCCACCAAACGAAACTGATATTGACCAGTAAGTGAAGAAAATGCGCTCGTCTATATCAGTGATGACAAAATATTTTACTATTCCACGAATTGTGGCCATGAACAGTGCGCTCTAGCACACCATGGATTAGTACTGTACGAACGAGGGATTTATGCTTCCATGATCAGATTCATGGATGGAATTTTTACAGGCGAACAAGCACATTTTTAATGTTCTAAGGAAATGCAGATCAAAACGAATTTGCATCACACACTGTGAATGACCTCAGTGTTTTGAGACATTGACCCATTATCGTCATCTGACTTCTCGTACATGATATAACAATTGGTTTTGCAAGCCGCAACTCTTGAGACAGCACAACAGAGAGAGAGAGAGAGAGAGAGAGTGCAAAATATTGGACATTACTACAAGAAATCTGTCAACAGTGAAAAGAAAAGAAGGAATCGTGATGCAACTTCTTATCACATTTAAATTGGGTGCTTGCTCTTTTGAGTGCTATGACTATCTGTCTTCTAATTATTGAACTTCTTCAACGAGAGCACTGTATCTATTAAACTTTCATTTCGAAATAATAAATAAAATTTTCATCATTAAACACAGAAAAGTTGACTAAGGCTCTGTACAAAATATGATTCTATTTCGATTATTATACGTCTTGCGAGTTCCAATAAACAAATAACTATCGCATGAATATTTTTCAACACAGAAGACTTTATTCATGAAAAATATTGACCGCGATTCAATATTTTAGTGAATTTAAAGATACATATTGGAATTCAATACAGTTTTGAAGAAAGTTTTTGGAATATAACATAATATTACCGATCGTAAAATTCATTGTTTGTTTAATTTCGGTCAATATCAGTCCGTTAAGTCTGAGCCGGGTGATTGTTAACATTTAATGATTAGTTCTTCTTTATGTTTTTAAGAGAGGAGTTCGAATATGTTTATGTTGACGTTGAAATTGACTTTTTCACTCTCTCACTCTCTCAATCATGTACAATAATTGATATAATCAAATTTGAAATGATCACACTCCCAGTATACATAACCAGTGGTAATTTAATTGGTGCTCCATCTCAAAATTTGGTGCATTCAATCATAACTGCTCTTTTGATTGAGATAATAGGCTTCACACCGAAATTGTGATCCAGTATAGAAGAGATCCATATTTCAAATCATAATATGATTGCCTGGAAAAAGCTCTGCTACTTCGTCAAACTGAGGGTTGATTTGCAAAGGTGCTTCTTGGATTTGTGAATTATTTGAATTCAATAGACATTTCCTACAATAAAACCGACACATTTATTTTTAGCCATCTGCAACACAGGCGTAGAAGTAAATCATTGAAAAATTTCTATTATATTGATCATATTGGAATGAGAGCTGATTCATTGCTTCGATTTTAGTTTGGAATATTTAGTTTGGAAATCAAAATTGGAATTTAATACGCGGCTGACTCGGTTCCATGTAATCTTATCGAAAACACAAATTCAACGGAAATCCAAAGCAATGAAAGAGCTAAATAAAATTCGCAATTAACCCATAAAATAAACACATGGTGAATGTATGCGGAGCACACATGCAGGTCATTAAACAAACATACAGTACCATCAGTCCAATGGCTTTCAAAATAATAGCAGAGCGCACGTTACACGGGAAAATACATATATATCCAAATAATATGAGCAATATGCATAGAAATTGAAGAAGAAATCGAAAGGCAAGAATTTGTGTATTACAATACAGCGTAACAGCGCTGATTGAAAAATTAAATTAAATCGCGCTGCCGTAAACCACTGAGAAAATGATAATCAATGAAAATGACGAGGGGAAATGATGTAAAGTTTGTATTTCTTTTCTTTCCTTGTCTTCTTCTTCTTCTTCTACTCTATTCTCTGAACGTTGAATGGTCGTTTTTGAATTTTCGACATGAAGGAGACGTGCCCCCGCTAACAATTATTTTTGATCTATTTTCCTTTTTGCATTTGGTATAGTATGAGGAGTAAAGGGAAGTATGTTTTTCGATTTATATTTGTTAAAAGAATGGTGTGTTTTTTGTGATTTTGTTTGTGTAAAATATTCATTGTTTGCAGGTCGTCATGTCCGTTCTGGTGAGAAACGGAAAAGACTCAAAAGTTCTGTATCTTCAGCGAAGTGGAGTTACTCTATGGCTAGGCATCCCATTCCATATTACTTAGAGGGAATTTTCCGTTTTCGAAGGAATGTCTGTCATAACTACCGACCAATTTGTTCAAATCATGACTCAAGCGAACTTCAGTTTGGGCCAAAATTACGATAAGTTTCATCCAATTTTGTCGAATTTCTCAAATTCTCGATTTCCTTTTCATTTTCGTTCTCGCTTTATTTTTGAAAAATTCCCCATTTAAAGCAAAATGCCGATAATAATTTAGTCTATGAATTTGCTGCAAACAATTCTCCCTTATATTTTTTTCAGTTTTTATCAGTAGTTGCAATGAAACATACTTCCCCCTCTGAACTTACACTCTTCCACATCTCACCAATAGATATGTACATGTAAGCTTATACAGCTTAGAAATCTGAATTACATTAAAAATCGATAAGCCCACTATGTTTCCCTCAGCAAGTGAAAATGACTCGATCTCATTCGAATTTTTTTCAGTGAGTGTCTTGGAAAGTATGCACACAAATACGATGGCGTTACGCACATTTGATTTTTTTGCCACTATAATCTATGTTCATGTTCAATTTACACAGTTGCACACACACACACACACACACACACACACACACATCTACTATATACAATTCGTTAGTTTTATTTTCAATTTTTTTCTCTTAAAGTTACGTGAAGTCTGGTTTTTGTGATGAAAAAAAAAATCAACCATAGTTAATGAAATGAAGGGAAAACTAAAGTGTGTGCAGTATTAAGAAATCAAGTAAAAAAAAAATAGAACGGGGAAATTTTGTTATTGAAGAAATCTGCGTGGTGCGATTTTTGAGTGCCTGATTGGTGAAGCTCTACGGAAGATCAGTATCAATAGTCAACTGACAATATCCAAGAGGTGACAGCGAAAAACATTTCATCTACAATAGTTTTGTGTGAAGAAATTCGTAAAAATCGGAATTTACAAGAGTAAAAACGAAGTATAAGATAGAAAAAGTGTTTTCGTGTTAAAATTTGCACAACGAACGTATCGTAAATGATCGATAGTGAGATTGACACTTTGTGATGGGCTACCGTTTGGTATCGTCTTTACATTGTAAAAGAAATCGCCGCGTGTTTTCGATCAAATAAAGTCATCGGTCAAGGCGGTACACGTGAGTGAAAACGTTTTTGGTGATCCTGAAGGGGTCACATTTGGCAATCTGCATCTGTATACGCATCCGAGGTGCTGTTGCACGGTTTGTCGTCTGCGCTCCAGTAAATTCTTCGGCATCAATGGAATCATCATCGTCAAACTCCAGTTTCTTACTTCGAAAACCATATTTGAATAGTGTTGGGTTTGGCGACTTTGGTATAACTTCAATAGCTGGCTCCATACAGGTTTGGTTTTATTCATATTTATTTTGTTTTTCTTTTCGTTTCATTTTTCTCTCCTGTTTACCTTTGTGCTTACACTAGTCAAATCTTGGAAGAAATACGCACACTGGAAAGAGAACAGAATAGATGCTTAGAGGGAAATTGATTGTATCATTTCAAACTGTTTAAGATAAAACGTAGTGTATTCAGTAAAAATGATCACACACACTCACACATACTCAATCTGTCTAGTGGCGAATCAGAACGTCACTAGATAGAAATTCATAAAAAAGAAATGATTGTTTGGTCTTTCATAATTGACGAACTTATAGAACAATGGAAGCATTTTCTTATGAAGCGATGGAATAAAAGAGATTATCAAATGATTCTATTCTGCACATCGACTACAGTTTATGTTTACGTTTACATTCCCACATTGTACCACTGTCTTCTTCTCGTCGATTACATGCATTGTACTCAGCGTTTAAAGTTAAGATAGATACATGCTATGAGATGGAATTCCATTCAGCTGAGGCTAGTACACGTCATTTGAATGACTTTCCGTTCAAATAAATTTATTTGGATAGGAAATCACCATAGTTCATTTTTCCAATCCCTCAGATGGATGAGAATTCATTTTTTTCGCATGTATTTGCATGAATTTCAAACACTGATTGCACGCACATACAAAACTATGCTTTAACAAAGTTGGATATGCTCATTAACTCGTTCACTCACACTATCATTTGAGTTCAATCACTGCAACGTATTAATAGCATCATTGTATTATTTTTGTTCGTCAATATTATTATGGAAGAGTTCAAAAATTATAAAAACGGATAAGTTTTCCTTGGAATTTATGGCTCTATGAATGTACACCTCTGGAACAGTTCTTTTTGCACGTCAAATACAATTTCGACTGTTAAACGATACATCTTATTGTTGTGTTATTAAATGACATAAAGTTTGATTTTCTATGTACGCTATGATTTTTTTTACCTTTTTTTCGATATGGCTCATTTTGGCCCAGAAAAAATGGAAAATAACTCATTATTGGCGATCGTTGCTATTGTTGCAGTTGATGTACAGACAAATGGTTTGCGTGTGCGTGCGTGGTATGTGTGTGTAATGCATGCATTTGTATGGCAAGTAGAGCGGCGGATATGTATGTGCAGTATATGGTCAATATATGCGGATCATTTTGTCGGCGGCAGCGCAGCTGCAACGACTGCTTTTAACATTGCCATGTAGCAGTTGAAAGGAATTACGATCATACTTATGTTCATTTCTCAACTGAATCCATTTTTTTATATTTACTTTTTCTTTTACATTTTATACGTACATATATCTATTTATAACCTGTTGTTGTTGAGTGTATGCGCCGGTATGCAATAGCATATCATCTGCTTAATCGCGGCATTGAATTAGCTTTATCATCGTGGCAAGTGTTATTGTGTTTTAGCAATTATGTGTACACTGAAGCAATAGAATGCGGTTGGCCGGTCGCAAGCACTATACATATCTGGTATCTTTCATTTCAGTCGCACTAGTTTCACATCTAATGTTTCTTACAGTTGGTCTATTTGCATCTCCATTATATCAAATACATTTTCTTATCTGTTTTGCTTTACCCGCGTTTGAACATCAGTTTCGATTTTTTTTCTTGGGATCGTGTGCTGACGGGAAGCAACTAGTAATATATTCTTGCTGGGCAGCACAATCATTCCCCCTTTAATTTATGCTTTGTCTTTCGTTCCGCTATCAATTGTCACTGTGGAGATTCTTGAGCAAGCATTTCGGCAGTTGGCCTTGATATCATGCGATAGCACCATTTCCACATGTTTGGTGGAAAAATTTCATTTTTGTAATGTCTAAGTCACGCATCTGACTGGTTTGAAACATACTGGATGAATGATTTTGTTTTAGATCATCTTGGCTGATACGTCCATGGCAACCATTTGAAATGAGTTCGTTTGCTTCATATTTGAATTTGACACACAGGTCATGATGATCCATCCGTTGCTAACGGTGACAAGCCAACATTTTATTTCATCAATTGCATTCGTGCTTCGCCATCTTCCATTCGAGTTAAAAATACGAATGAATCGACAGAAATTCGCAGTATGTTGTTCTAACATTTTGTGGCCTGACAACATACAAAACGTGAAATGACCGTCGGTTTATTGTATGAGTATGATTTTGAGTGCTTCTGTTCGCGTTCCCCTGGTCGTACATGATTGTAAAAAAAGCATAAGAGCGTACAAAAAACTCATGGAGAACGAAGAAAATACGAAGAGCAATCAAGACATTAACATGGGACCGATGATGAAATGTAAAAATAAATTAAATGAAAATCGATTACTTCAGAAATAGAATTGATCGACACCTGTAAACTGATGTTGTCTATAACCAATTTCGTGCAATCGCGATTTTCACCAGATTCACAGCGCACTGGTAAAAAATAAATTACGAATCTCAAAGAATTATCTTGCTCGATTCACGATTAATAGAAAATTTCGAAATAGTAGCAAAATGTATATAAAAGTGTCGCTGCATTAATATTGAAGGTGAATGAATCACCACCTCGGCCAACGAACGCACAACTTCTAAATCGAAAATTCTATAAACAACAACATGTCTACATTTTCCACGCTTTAATGTCAATTTCACACGTTTTCTTCTCGACATGCTCATCGCAGCTACATTGTCCATTTTAGGCTTAATATTTCCCATTCGCACCACTGCCGCAAATACAATTTCGAAGCGTGGAATCCAAGTGCGGAATTTTCTTTTCAACCCATTATAAATATTTGCACGGAAATAAACCATAACATAGCAAATTAAACGCGACAAGCAATGCAATGTGATGGTATTGAAGCGCGTAAAAAATAATAGCCAACTTAAAATTGAACCAACAACAATGGCACATCAAATCGCAAGAAAATTAAATCCACGGAAAAAACACAAGTGAACAGAAAAAAACGCACTAGCGCACTGAAATGAAATGTTCAAAGAGTTGTGCAGTTTTTTAAATTGGAATAAAGGAAGCGAAGCGAATGAAAAAATGGTTATTATCGCATTATGTTTTCGGTCCGAATTTGTTTTTTTTTTTCTTCTTCTTCTTTTTTTCACTTTTCTTAGGAATTTCATTTCATTTAAAGCAGAAAAGTGAATGCAATAATTTGCAAATTCAAAATAATGGAAACATGGAATAAATGTGTAATTAAGATCGAAGCGGTGAACAGATGAACGGAAATCAGTTGCGATAATGCTATAAAAAAATAAGATAAAAGAAAATCAAAGCGAACGTCACTGAATCATAGAGTGAATGAATGTGATTAGTTGCAGTATTAGATTTCCGTGTATTTATTCAAACATAACTAAAATCGTATGTGGTTCAAAGAATGTGGGTGTTTCAAAAGCAGAAATATGAATATATGTTCATAAAGTAAATCGTTCAATTAATTATCAACTAACGTGAACTAACTTTGATAGTTTATTCGGTTTTATTTAAAATATCAATCCCATTTTCTTTCATGCAAATCGTACGAACCGAAAACTTTGTTTTATGTGCTCCTGTTAAGTGTTTTCCTGGTGGTCAAAAAATAGAAACATCATCTTTGGTGTCAGCTCTGTTGTGGGTAGAAAAAAAACCATTTATTCCAATTTTCAAATGAATAATATAGTTTACGATTTATATTCACCGGGATATTTTCCTTTTTACACCCATGCTATTTCTCGAATGACTTTTGTATTCCTCTTTTAGTGCATTGTCCCGTCTTCTGTTCTCACACACACGCACAATACTGCCGACGAATATTACCTGCGGCGTTTGACTACACGTTCCTTACCAACAGGTTAATCCGAATGTAAAATGGTGAGACCGTTCAGTGGGCACGTTTTCATTTCATTTCATTCGTTTCTACGTTGAAGTCTAAGTATTGGGGAAAAAAGAGGCAAATAGAGGCAAAACTATCATAAAAATCAAAGCATGCAATGTGGACATATCAAAACAATTGCTTTTTAAATAGTCAATCGACGCAAAAACATATTGTGGCCTACATTGTTTGGTTTTCTTGTACTTGTTCTTCTTCTTCTATCATTGCTCATCTTAGGGACGATAAATCGACTTTGAAAAAACACACAAATTTTAAGGATTTCCTAATAGCAAAACTACTTTGAAACAAGAGAGGAAAGAAGCGATTTTTTTCCCAAGAACATATTTATGACGTCCAAAAAATCATAATATTCCTACTTCACTATCTCACAATATACCGAGTATTTATGCGGCGGAAGCCGTTGAATGTGCACACGTACAATTAACTGCAGTTAACCAAAGTTGACCAAATGAATATTCTGATGATGCAATGGACTCGTGTAACAATAATATGGCTTGCATGTGTCGCGATACAATTCAACCGTAGATATATTCCCTCCTTCATGTTCTTCATTGTAAATTTCTGGAAGTCACTAGATGCAAACATTGCGTTTTTGTTGATTTTGTGCTTCATTTGAAGTCAGTCAATGATATACCATGGACAAAAGTCAATATTTCAATTTTATACAAGTCTGGTCTAGCGAATGAATATTGTGATTGATCGCCCAAATCGAATTGGTCCAAAATTAGTTGAAAGGTGGTTTTCGCTTGGGATCATTGCTGTTATTGCTCGTGAAATAATGCAACACATATATAACAACGTCACCAAATTAGCAAACAATCGTGGATTTTTTCAGACATGTGTTACGGAGTAGCCTTGAATTTGGCTCTTTTTTCTTCATCGTGCTCCAATTTTGCATTTATTGTTAATTATTTTAGCACCATAGGTTCTTCAGGCCACTTCTTTGTAACAAAGAAACTTACTATTTCATACTCCTACCACTTACTTAAAGCGACACGTACATACCGTTGATGTGTATATGGCATTAAATTGTTTATCGATTTGAAAGACTGCGCTCCATTCGTGCATTATTCAAATGAAAACTCTGAGCTGGTTGGGTAAAAGACGTTTTTGGCGTGATTGCCG